TATATGGGACCACATGGGAAGCACCAGCTTTCAAATAAAAAAAGAATCATCGAAATCGGTTCACCCAGTAAGAAGTTATGAGGTAACACAGATAAAAAAAACACAGTCGAATTGAGTACCGGCTCCTTTTTGAATTCGGTAGATAATCTAACAATTACTTAGGCGACCCAGTTATAAGGAATGTGTTTTTTTAAACAGTTTTATGTAAGCGGTCGTGTATTCCATGTTAAAAGTATATTTAAATATTAAAAAGGTATGACAGATATACGAATGACATCACGCAAGGTTGCTTCACGTTAACCTTTTGCTGTTCACTTGACCAAGTTTTTGGTTTCTACTCATATAAAATTCACTGCTGTGTTGTTTTTTTTAATATTAAATGTTCGTGCAATTTTGTTAGAAACTTTTGTCTATGATAATTAAGTAAAAACTTATTTATAATTACGGCTCTACACAAGTCAACTACTGAACATAGGCTTCCACAAAATAATGCTACAAAGCACGGTCCTGAGCCAAATGCATTCATCAAAATTTAGCAAATATTAAATGATAATATCACATCGTAAGTATTAAAAAAATCATGTTATAACCACCATGTACAACTTACGTCTACTACTTCGCTTCTGCATCGCACTTTTAGGTATTGCTATGCTTTCATTAAAAACATATTTCAAATTACATTGGAATGTGTATAAAAATCACTTAGAGACTCGACCCGGTTTTGTATTGGTGCGTAATTTTTTTTTTTTTGCGCGAAACCATAATTTTTTTTTAATATCAGCTATCTGCCTGTGAATGTGTCGTTAAAATAGGTCCAGCCATTTCAGAGATTAGCCGGAAGAAACAGACAGACACACACACACAAAAATTTTAAAAATTGTTGTTGTATAAGTACCGTATATACTTTCACATGCATTTAAAAAAAGCTGTTATTTTGATATTACAAACTGACACTTCAATTTTATTTATTTGTATAGATTATCTTATAAGAGAAAAAAGAGAAAAGAAATTATCTATATTATGATGGTGACAACTCAAATCCTATCAATTAGTTTCAAATTTTTAATTTAAAACACAGACGCAAATAATTGACACAGTGATTTAATAGTAACAGATTATTAATACGATAGGTTTATATGTGTAAAAATATAAGATTATTATGTACAATTAATTCCGCTGCTTCTGCCGATGGTACCTGTTATCTGTTGCAGCATCCGCTTACATTTTGTTAGGTACGATATTAGTGTTCCTGTAAGTGGTGCTAAAATAACGGTTAAAGTAGTTATAACTTTTTTAATTTGATAACAGCAATTGAAAAAAGTGCGAGATGATGCGTCGCTTCGATAATCTTTTGTATACAGTTAAAAGTGCAGTCTCCGAAAGGGTTTATTCGACTTTCACCGATTTGATGGGTATTTTTACTAACACGATTTTATCTGCTTGTCCTGTTTGTATGTACACGTGAGACCCTTTCATTTTTCGCATAGCGTTGCGGGCGGTTATCGGCTGGTATTCTGCTCGTGTTTATTGATCAATTGGCACAAACTTATTAATAAAGAAATTGTAGTGATAGCTATGTAATATCTATTGGTATCTATATTAATAATATATAGTTGTAAAAAATAACTTTTATTAAAAAGTAAAAGCAGATTTCACAGAACTAAAAAGATTAAAATAATTACACTTTCTGGAAGTTCTGGCTAATAGGGTAGACTGGGTACGGTTGAAACGGTGGACGGTTGAAACAAAGCCAATATCTCGACACCTTGCGTGATGAGGTGAGGAGTGCAAAGGGAGAACGAAGCGGGAGACAAGTCGAAACATGAATTTTAGTGTTGCGTCGCTCTTCGCGCGCTGTGCTTATGTATAGGAGGCCCCATTGTGTTTTTTGACGGAAAAGTAAGTATTTCTGTTCGTACATTTTTTGCAATTATTATGGTTTTATTAAAGTTAGAGTATTAAGGGTGTTGTATCGTTTTATTTGAAGTTTGGAGAATATGGCTGTATGATTGGTTTTTATTCAAATTTATTATCATTCTTACTGTGAACCGTTTTATACCTAGAAGGGGGGTTGGGGACAGTTGAAACATTTTTTGTGGGTATAGTTGAAACAGTTTATTTATTTAATTTTCTTGTTTCTTAGCTGCCAAGTGTACGCCAAAGGAAGACTACGAGAGGTCAGGCCGACTTATCAACGTACAAAGAAGCCTATGAAGATGTAAAAGCCGGGTCATCGTTAAGACCAGCGGCAGAAAATAATGGACTGAACCATTGTTCCCTGTTGAGGTATAAACGAGATACGACTGGTGATGATGAAAATCAATAAATGGGATATAAGACTTACTTTAATTTTAGATGTGCAGACATATATTTTGGCCAAACTAAAAAGGATGCTGTCAAGACCTCGGACTTGAGATGACAACGAAATAGCTGGTGACAAGTTATTCATATTTCCCCGGTCGAGCGACACATTGGTGCTACAATTATACTATTTATAGCTGCAGCATGGCTCTACCACGTCAAAATGTTATCTTTCGCTCTCCACTGCTTACAAAAACTCCAATTGCCTTATTAAAAATAATGATAGATTATAAGTATCATGAAAGACTTGAATATTAATTTAAAAAAATATTTGTGATGTTCAACTGTACAATTAAGAGTCCTAAAATGTTATTAGACGATGAATTAAACATGTTCATTAATTATATTTTGTATTCTTTGTATTTTTCAAATGACCCCAGGCACTGTTTCAACCGACCCTGGCAGGGGGACGGTTGAAACAAATTAATTTTCTTTTTAAATTTGATTTTACACATAAAATGCAATACAGTGATCTCAAATAACATTACCCATTAGAAGACAGATATATGGTCTTTTAATTAATATATTTCAGTCATCGCTCGCTTAACTAATTTAGATGTAATGGACGATAAACACTAAAATGTTTCAACCGTACCCAGTCTACCCTACAATAGAAGAATTTCAAAATAATAAAAAATACCTGTAGGTATTAAAAAAAAAGTGTATGTATACTTATGCACGTACGAAGTTATACTTCTTTAGCGTAAGAAAGCAAAAAATCTTGAGAGATAATTACCCACTGAAATTGTCGCTTTTAGGTGTCAGTGTGCGCGCGCATCGTTACAATTTCATGGTGTCGTTTTTAGGTGTCGGTGTGCGCGCACATCTTAAAAGTTCACTCTCATAATTTTTCCCAAACGCCCCAAAAGAGGTATAATTTTAAAAATACCTAAAAAAAAGAATCATCAAAATCGAAATCGCAAGATATCCCTTAACATACAAGGGGGACATTTACAATTCGACTGTATGTTCTTTTTCCTTTTTTGTATATACATACAGTCGAACTGTAAACTTCCCCCCTTTTTAAACAGTAACACGCCTTGAGCACGAACTGTGGTGACATTAGTAAGAAACTATGTCATGGTCATGAAATTATTGTTTTGTCATCGATTATAATGAGTGTGCAAAATGTCCATAAAGTGTTTGTTGTTGATTATTCACACGTTCGGAAGTGGATCAAAATTTAATTAATATGAAATTCAGTTACATTTATGTTTGAAATAATATATACATACATGACATTATAAGACATACATACAGATCAAGCTAATAAAAGCATATTCATAATTTAATGTCGTTTTGAAATCAGATTATTGAAACCTTGGATTAAAACAGATTGCAACCGTTGTGTAGGTGGTTATTCTATTTTCGAAACGTCAATATCATTAAATTAATGTTTATAACTTTTGTAGTCTATACTTTATTCTGTCTGTTTGTAATGTCAAAATAACAGTTTTTTACTAATGTACTTATAATAAAAAATTTAAAATTTTTGTCCATCTGTCAGTTTGTTCTCGCTAATTTACTGAATGGCGGGACCGATTTTGACGAGACTTTCACTGGCAGATAGCTCATGTTATGAGGAGTAACTTAGGTTACTTTTGTTTTAGAAAAAGAATTAGGGCACCGCGGGAAAAAAAACAAGAAATCCAGTCGTAATAAGTTTCACACGGACGAAGTCGCGGGAAACAGCTAGTATTGTAATAATGCTAATGCTTGCCAACTATAATTGTTGATTATTTTTATTTTATTTCATAATACGTCTAGCAAGACACGATAAAATTTAAAATTCGAACGTTGTCAAATTCAATTATAAATTGCGTTGGACAACTGGACATACTCGTAATATTCCAATACGGCACTATAGACTATAGAGTGCAAACAGACAGGCACTCGCCTTTTCGAATCTGATGAACGTTTATTAATTTATGGCAATATAATAGGATTAATTTCGGAAGCAGTGGTAAAAACACGATATCAGATATAAATTCACATTAAAATACACTGTCTAAACCGGAAAAGTATGGACAATAATAATCGTTGATTGCGTGCTTATCTTCATTTCGTATTATTTTCGCTGAAAATATGGCGTATCTATGGTTAGATATTTCTTAGGAGAGGCTAGGGTGGGCACCAGATAATTTTGGGGTGGATACGGACCAACCGGCCACCCTTCGATAAACGCCAATGTTGGTATCAGTACTTGAAATGGCCAATAATATTTGTTCTGATGTAATTCTATCTTTTGAATTCAAAAATTTATGATATAAAGCAGACTTAGGTTACTGCAGACCTAGGTTACTACGTCTTTTGTAATGCGTACAGGAAAGGAGGGGAATAATTTGCCTATAATTTTAATCTTTACATCCGAATACAATCTGGGCGTCTTCAAAGCTTGTGAATAGAGCTTCAGAGAGAGAGAGAGTGAATAGGCTTTTGTTACGCTAAGACAGTGAGATTTACCATCTATCATCACTTACCACCAGGTGGGATTGTGGTCAAGCACTGGCTTATAATAAGTAAAAAAAAAAAACTCATGTCTTATAAAATTTAAGGCCTGGTTTTACAACAAGTGCCGTATCTCTATGTAGTTGCTTGTTTTGGAATAGTGAAACAATAAAAAAAACTAACCGTTTTAGATACACGCACCAGTGCAGATGGCGCAGGCGACACGGGCACGCTGGACATGGGCAGCCGGTCGTCGCTGCATACTGGCCTGCAGATGTCCGAAGACGAGCATTGGGAGATGAATTATCATGAGGCAGCCATATATTTGGAGGTACGTATTAAGGCAACAATGGTTGTTGTTGCTATCGACAGTTATAAAGTCTATTTCTGGATTCAAATCTGTGCCGGCGCTGTCGTCGCGTCACAAGCAACAGATTGAAGCCTAACTCGCGCTATCGAAGTTCGGAAGGAAAGCAGTATTTAAATAATAGCTTCAAACTACCACTCGGGGCGTTGGCCGCTCCCCGGGATAGAACACTTTGCCCGGCGGGAGATCTCCCCTTTTCCTTCCACAGTCAAAAATCTGTCCTGAATTGAATTGGGATATGACTTGGAATTGGAACTGAACTGGGGGATAGTGCAGTAATTGCTAAGCTTAGACGTCGCATCGTAAACATAATGATATATTTGCTTCTGTTCGCCTGTCAACGGTCTATTTTATCCATCATCATTATCATCATCATCATTACAGCCTATCACAAGTACACTGCTGAGCATATTAGGTATGGTTAGATACGTGGTAGAGCCATGCTGCAGCTATATTAGTAGTATAGTTGTAGCACGAATGGGTCGGCTCGACCGGGGAAGAACCACGCTCTCACAGAATACCAGCGTAAAATAGGAGCTTAATACTGCTGTGTTTCGTATGGGATGAGTCGCTCGCGTCCGTAGGCTTCGACCACCTAATCCTAGGCCCACCCTACACGTGTCCCCCGGGTGGTGCTAAACGAGCGACAAAGCCGAAACGACAGACTCGGCTCCTCGCCGTATGGTAGCGGCGTAAAATCTACCACCCCTTAGTTCGCACCATGAGCCAAGTAGAAAAAGAAATGGCCCCGAGTTCCCGGCGCCCCTTTAATGGGGCAGGGGTGCGAAGAATCTCCGGGAGAAAAACCGGCGACGAGGTTCGCCACCCGTCACGTCCTGTCTCCCGGGGGGGGGGGGGAGTGGATTGCGGAGGCCCGTCTGGCTACGCTGAATGTATGTGGAGCAATGAATGATAAGATAGATGAAGTATGCGAAATGATGAATGATAGAGGAATAGATGTGTTATGTGTAAACGAGACGAAACGAAAGGGAAGAGATGTCACTGCACATGGCATGTATACCGCTTACTGGTCTGGAGTAGACGAGACCGAGTGGGCATGCCAGGGAGTCGGTGTCATCCTTTCAGAAAGAATGGGTCAATGTGTGAAGGAGTATGAATGTGTTAGCCCAAGGCTGCTGTGGATACGAATGAAAGTGGGCTTAAAGAAGTTGTTTGTGCTAGGGGTGTACGCCCCAGATATGTCTAAGCCCACTTATATCCGAGAGCAGTTTTGGGACATGGTAAGGATGGTGTTGAAGAAATGTAAGGAAAATGAAAATATTATTATGTTAGGAGATTTTAATGGAAGGGTTGGGGTGAAGAGGTCTGGTTATGAAAGGATATTAGGAACGTTTGGCGATGAAAGAATAAATGAGAATGGTGAAGACCTCCTCATCGTATGTGTGGAAAAGAATCTTTTTGTGGCGAACACTTTCTTTCGCCATAAGAGGATTCACATGTATACATGGGAAAGAGGGGATGATAGAAGCATGATAGATTTTATAATTGTGGATGAAAGAATGAGGAGCGCAGTGGTAGATACAAGGGTTTACCGGGGGTCCAACGTAGGGACGGATCATTACTTGGTCTTATGCCGAATTAATGGTCTATTCAGACGTTGGCGGCATCGGACTTCGGTGTCTACCACTGCGTTACAGCGTATAAGAATAGAGAGGTTACAAGATGAAGGTGTGAAAGAGAAGTATAAATGCAGACTGAGGGAAAGTATAAGTGGGTTCAATGAATTATGTATGAATGATTTAGAATTGAAGAATGTATGGAATAATATTAAGAAAGTTTTGGTGGATGCAGCCAGCAAGTATGTGGTGTAAGTAAGAGAACGAATGAAAGAAAAAGTAATACGTTGTGGTGGGATGATGAGGTACGGATGGAAGATGAAGCAAATAAGAGAGCATGGCTAGATTTACAGGCAACTAAAGCTGGTAATTCTGGCGGTATGAATGATGAGATTGAAAGAAAAAAGGCAGACTTTAGACGTATAAATAAGAGAGTAAAAGAAGTTGTTGAAAGGAAAAAGCAAGAAAGGATAGATAAAAATGATAGAAGGATATCTGATAACTTCCAGGAAAATATTAAAATGTTCTGGAAGCTCGTAAGAACTGCCAGGGGAAATTCAAAACAGCCTAGAATGAATGCTATACGAGATGCTGCTGCCCATCTTCTGTTTCTTTCCCTCTATCGCCTCTTACGACACTCACGGGATGATATGGGGTAGTGGATATTCTAATATTCTTACGCCGCTACTATCTGTATATCTGGCCGCCCTAGAAAGAGGTTCAAGTTTTTTTGGTTACATTCATCTTACGTAGACCGCCCATGTCTCTAAAAACATTACCGATGGAGAAGAAAGGTTCTCGAGTGGGAGCCACGAAATGGCAAGCGTAGACAGTATTGGGTGACTACTAGATGGCGTGACAACCTGATGAAATATACAGGGAATCGTTGGTTGGTCCGGATGGTTCTGCTCGTAAAATTAAGGTATGTAAACTGCTTTCACGACTCAGGAGAAATCGTAGTGTGGGGGGTAACGTTTTTATTAAAAACAAAGAAAGAAGTTATACAGGGACTCGGGACCGTTCTATGTGGCAATCCATGGGAGATATGTTCAGCAGTGGACTTTTTTTTATATAGGTCAAGGGTGACAAACGAGCACACAGTTCAACTGATTTAGAATAGAATAGAATAGAATGATTTTTATTCAATATGGATTATTACATAATACTTATTGAAAGTCATTATTTTATTTACCACTGGTTCGGAAAATACCTCTGTCCTGGGAAGAACCAGCAAGAAACCCAGCGGGACTTTTTTTTAAAACATAATTTCACTTAACAATAATTTTGTTTATACAATTTTAAATGAATTTTCATAGAACCAGCATGGTGGCGATCACCTTATTCCCAGGGGTTATTTTCATTCATGTATTCCTTGATATTATAATAACCCTTTTTGTACAGTTTTTCTTTAATAAAACTTTTAAACTTGTTTATTGACAAACTTTGAACATGTTCTGGGATTCTGTTGTAAAAGCGTATACATTGCCCCATAAATGAATTACTAATTCTGTGGAGTCTTGTAAGTGGCATTACAAGCTTATGTTTGTTCCTAGTGTTTAAGGTATGAATATCCTTATTCTTATTAAAGCTATTTATGTTTTTATGTACATACATTACATTTTCATAAATATATTGCGATGCCAAAGTTAATATGTTTATTTCTTTAAATTTTTCTCTAAGGGACTCTTTACAATTTAGATTATAAATCGCCCGTACGGCTCTCTTTTGCAAAACAAATATAGCTTCAATATCAGTCGCATTACCCCATAGCAAAATTCCATAAGACATTACGCTATGAAAGTAACTAAAATACACTAACCTAGCTGTCTCAACATCTGTGAGACTTCTAATCTTTCTTACAGCATATGCTGCAGAACTAAGTCTGCTTGCTAATTTAGATATATGGGGGCCCCATTGAAGTTTCGCGTCAATAGTAATACCGAGAAAAATAGTGGTATCCACAAGACTCAACTCCTCCCCATTTAAGAGCACATTGATTGTAAGTGTAATGTGTGTGTAAGTAAGTGTTCTCTACACTCACCATATGAAACACGGCAGCATTAAGTTGCTATTTTACGCTGGTATTCTGTGAGAGCGTGGCACCACGTATAAACGTATAAGCTTATAGTGAGCTGTAAGCTGTAATGACATGACATATGACATTTATGGATTAGAGGACAACGAATTTGATGTTGTGATCGTTAATTGCTTCCAGGAAGGCTTAAATAATGAGAAGTTCGACTCCCATCCATCAAGCCCCGAGGAGCTACCGGCTTATCTTCGCGTACACAACCCTTGGTACCACGGGCTGGACCTCCTCGCTTCCCTCGTTCTTATTCTATTAGCTTTTACTGAGGACCCTGCTGTACCTGCTTTTGAGGCAAGTCAATATAATAAAATAAAAGCATGTTTTTCTTTAATTTTAGTTGGATTTTGAGACTTATATTCAGGGATATAAAGCACAGCTAATAGTTTATTACAAATACACACAAGAGTAGAAGGAAACACGAAGGAGTAATAAAGATAGTATTAACCCTTCAATAGTGAGAAATAGAAAATTACAAGGGTTAGCATAGACAGGTATGAAAGATACACATAAAAATATTGTTTTTTATAAGACGAGGCAAACGAGCATACGGCTCATGGTGGTAAGTGACTATTGCCGCCCGTAAACAACTGCAACTCCAGAGGAATCGCAGATGCGTTGCTGGCGTTTTATAAAAGAGTGGGCTCTTTTCTTGAAGGTTCCCAATTCGTATCGGTCCGGAAAAATTGTTGGTTGTATTCGGTTCCACAAGGAAGTTATGCGAGGAAGAAAACTTCTTCTAAATCGCACAGTAGTGGACCGCCAATCATCCAGATGGTACGGATGGTATCTCGAGTTTTGTCGCGATGTGCGATAGTGAAATTGAGCAACAATTTCTTTGAGCACTCCCCGTGGTAGATACGAGAAAATACGCAAGGTGATGCAACTCCTCTTCGCAGCGCCAGTGAGTCAAGCCGATCAGAAAGAGCTCGCGGTCGCCGATGGTTCGAACCGCTCTGCGCTGGATGCGATCAAATGGAAAAAGCTGGCACTGGGAAGCCCCGGCACAGAGAATTAAAATTAAATTAAATGTAAGCGTATTGTATAAAAGTTAGTGAGGAGCAAGACGGGCAGCCTCCCGGTGTCGTGCTTACTTTAAGTCAAAGTGACTGTGACTTAACGATATCCCCTTTCGGCATTAGGCATTCGTCATTTGGGCATTAGGCCCATAATATCCAATAGCAGATTAATATATAATTCTAAGTTTAAACCTTCTTAATAGAATGTATCATATATTAATGATAGTTTTTTTTTTATAGGATAAGAGTGACAAACGAGCACACAGTCCACCTGATGGGAAGTGGTTGCTGTGGCCCATAGACATCTATCCTCGATTACTGATTGAGGACTAAGATGGAATGCCTCGTTTTCAATAAAAAGGGTCTCCGGTACTCTACACTCATCATACGAAACACAGCAGCGGTAAGCTGCTATTTTACGCTGTTATTCTGTGAGAGCGTGGTCCTCCCCCGGTCGAGCCGACCCATTCGTGCTACTATATATATATATATATACTATATCAGTAATATAGCTGCAGCATGGTTCTGCTACGTAACAAAAATCTTTTATTGGGAGTTTCACTTTGAGAATGCTAGAAAGTTAAAGCGGTCAACTTGGATAAACTATCATAAAGCCCGGTTTCCACCGCGGAAGCGTAATGAGTGGGAAATGGTAAGCGGAACGGACTCCTTTTAAACAAAATAGATTTGCATTCCCACCAACAAAGAGGTTTGCCTGTTGATTTCCACGGCAAACGGATAACGACAGAGAGGAATCAGCGGAGCGAGCTGAACGGAATATGAGAAATGGAAAATGAATAGCCAATTTCCACCGAGAGCCGAGTTCAGTTGGAGTTTTGAACTGGGTACGTGCGGTATTGTTTTGTTGTGTGAATTCGCGATGTTATCGAGTGACACGGAATCAAGTGAGGACAGTGATTATGTATACCGAAAGAAAAAGTATATATTATTACATCTTAAGCACAGAAAAAAACGCGCAAAACGGAGACTTTGGTTATGTCGGCACATTCGAGAAAAAACGTTGAAAGGGGAATATAGGCTATTTAATAATTTGGACGACGAAAAATTTAAGAACTATTACAGGGTTAGCAGAGAACAATTTCAAGAACTTTTGTCATTTGTAAAGGCCGACATTTTAAAATTTAAAATTTTGATTTTAAAACAGCAGCGTCGAGCGAGTCCGTTTCAAAATAGTCGGCGGGTTCGCGACGCAGCGGACACATGTTACTCGTTTGGTCCGCTCCGCTCAACTCTTTTTCGGTGGAAACACTACTTTGTAAAATTCAATTGCGAGTTGAAAGGACTCATTAATGACTCCGGTCCGAGTCCGCAGCTCATTTTTACTCTTTTCGCCCTCGTTGTCATTTACACTCGACTCTTTGTTGGTGGAAACACATGTATTTAGTTTTGTATTGCGAGGTAAAAGGAGTAATTAATGGGTCCGTTCCGCTCGCGGTGGAAATCAGGCTTAAGTATATTTTCTCCATGTAAGACAGCGATGAACAAATCAGTAATAGTTTGACTACAACGTGAAACTTCTAACGTCGATATCTGACGAGTAACTTTTAAGATTTGATCCCTTATGCATGACAACATAATCTTGAGATTTTACAACCATAAATAAAGACTAACTTTCCACTCTCTTGTAGCTACCAGTGTGGGCACACGGTACAATAGAACTATTAGCACTGGCAGTGATCGGTGTGGAACTGCACCTCAAGCTGAAGTGGATCGGCTGGACTACCATACTCAAACACAAGAGGACCATGATTAAAGTAATAAATTGGTTTTATTATTATTATTATTTTTTAAACGACTTCAAAAAAGACGAGGTACTCAATTAGACTGTTTTTTTTAATGTGTGTTATCTTAGAACTTTATTATTTTTTTATTTGAAAGCGTGTTTTCACATAAATTTGATCAAGATCTGACCAGTAGTTTTTGAGTTATCCTTAATAATGCGTATTTAAATGACTTCCGACTATATTGATGATGAATCTGAATGACAGAGTGAGAAATTGTTTGATAAGAGAAGAGTGTGGTTTGCAAGATGATGTTGTGACCAGGATTAAGAAAGGAATGCTTCGGTGGTTTGGTCATGTAGAAAGAATGAATGAGGAAAGAGTGACAAAGCAAATTTATCTGGCAGAGGTGTACGGCAGAAAGTTTATCGACCAATATATTGAAAATGGGCCAAATTAAAAGTACATTTAACCGATGAGCGTGTATGCATAGTTATATGGATGTGGAGGAAGCGAGAGAGATGTGTCAGGATCGTGCCAAATGGAAGTCCATAGTCTCTGCCTACCCCTCTGGGTGACAGGCGTGAGTGTTTATGTATGTATGTATGTATGTATATTGATGATTTTCTCATTTTATTTACATTGAAGTCGGTTGTACATTTTTTTTTAATTTTACCACTTGTGTATGGTACAACCGTAGTCACGATCAGCAACAATTTGGTTTGGTGTATGTTACTGCATAATGGCGGTGTAAGAGTTTCCTAAACCCATTTCTTCCCGTGTTGTATGAGGCGACCGATAGATGGAGGTAAAACCAACTGAGATTGTTTCATGTCAAATTTCGAGTGTAGACCGCATAACGAAATATTATAAATCCGTGTATGTTGTAAGAAACACGTCTATTACAGGTAAAGTGTGGTAGAGCCATGGTTATGCCATGCCATGTAATTGGATCTTAATGCTGCTATGTTTCGTATGGTGAGTGTCGAGAACCGGAGTTTTTATAGGAAAAGAGTTATTCCGTCTTAGTTCTCAGGGGTGACATCTACATTTTGATTCGCAAGCGAGGATAGATGTAGATGTCTAGGAGCCACAGCAACCATTTATCATCAGGTGGATTGTATGCTCGCTTGTCACCCTTATCCTATAAAAAAGAGCATGCAGCACAAAATGTAGAAATTAATAATAGGAAAAGATAAAAAAACGAAGTATTAATAACATTATAAATTTAAGTGAAAATACACTTTTAAAAGACCTTAATATGCTGGAGCATGAAACAGTGAATTGGACCAGTCTCAGTGATAGTAATAGTTTTCAGTCCGGCTCATTCCCCGAGCCCCAATGCAACACGAAAGACTAAGTGCACTTGCACATTCGCTCTTGATGCCAGAAAATTTAAATAAAAGTTATAAAAATACACTTATAGTAAATTAAGATTTTTTTTTAAAATAAAATGGAGTGTGGATTATCTATTGTATGAATAGGTAAATAAACACATCATGTATACATTTTTGATTGTGAAGTTTTACAACTCGAAATTGTCAAAAGTGTGACAAAGAAAGAGATAGCAAAATTTATGTTTTATTTTCAGGGCGTCACATTACTAATTATGGTGCTGGAGGCTGTGGTGGTCCTCTGCCGTCAGTCGTCGCATTTCAGAGTGACGCGCGCACTCCGCCCTATATTCCTCGTGGACACGCGGCACTGTGGTGGTGTGCGCCGATTTATCAGGCAGATATTGCAATCACTACCACCTATATTAGATATGTTAGGTATGTTCGATTATATTTATTCGTCTCAGTTCATTCTTCATTTCATACAATTAATGTGGCAGAGCCAAGTTGCAGTTGAATTATGACTGCAGCGTGAATAGTTTAACTCGACTGAAAGATTCAGATCACTCTCTTCCAGAATACTAGAGTAAAATAGAAGCTTATTTTACTTTTTTAATTTAGCTACTGCGTTTCGTATGGTGACTGACGAAAACCGGCGACAATTTTTCTGATAATGAAACATTCTTTCTTAGACCTCAAGGAGTGATTCTTAATCGAGGCTAGATGTAGGTGTCTAGAAAATTCATATTTAATCTGTACTTATAAGCACTGCGTAGGTTTAGGGCAAATATGGTCATTTGAGACGGCATCCAATCGCCACCGACTTAGCGAATCGCCCGATGGTGTTAGGTGTCACGCGCGTCGCGGGGAGGGGGCATCGGTATGCAGCTTCCCAGCGTTTGGCGCTCGTGGGCGAAAACAGTGGATTGAGAGCAGCGGTGCGGTCAATTAGCGTTATTTGGTTACCGCTATATTTCGCGCGACCAGTTTTTTGGGTTTATGGTCTAGATTTTTAGTATTTGTGCGCGTTACTTCGCTACTGAATTGTGGTTTCGTGAAGACCGCCTCGGTTTAGTTTGTCTAAGTTGTACGTTCGTGACAAGAGGCTTATTTTGAATTTGAGTGATTAGAGTAATTTCGTTGCAATTGTACCGTCGCGTTAAGAGCCTTTTGTGTGTTGACTCTTTAGTTACTTTGCATGTCAGCTAGGTTGATTTTGAATTCTTATTGCGGCGTAGTATTTAATATAGTACGAAGGAATTTAGTTGTTGGTTGTAACGCTGAACTTTGTAACTCGTGAAGAGATCGCGTTAGTTCCCTATTTGTAATTTGGTAATAAACGAATCCGTAACCTTAAATATTGAACTTTGAACGACTGTTAGTTACTTGTGTCGGGTATCCCGTGTTTGATTTCGACGAACGTTGAATTGGTTGACTTTGAAGTTAATTATATGTAGTAAAGTTGATAGACTGAAATAGTGAAATGAAGAAAGAAGTTGTCAATTAGTGACGTCCGCTGGAGTGATACAACATGGTGGGGCAGCATCGGACCAGGCGGCTGCCCGGTCACCTCAGCTGGGCCAGGTCACATAAATATACACACCACTAAACACCACTTTACATGCATCTACACCTACCTACGACCTGACCGAGCCTTGGTGCGGTCTTAGCTTCGGATCCAGGTACGTACTATTTATTTACCTAGCCTTATCTCTATTGTGTAGTATGATAGGACATTCCTCCATAGGCCATTTGGGCCCGAACCCTCGGCTGCCCGTCGAGGAGGCTACTATGGGCCCTAGCCAAGGCGACCTTTGCAGGGGTAGCTTGGGGCCGTAACAGCGTACAACAATTCATAAATTATATTAATACTGTTTTATATCATGAGTGACGAAAACCGGAGAACTTTTTAATTTGTTACAAGGCAATCAGTTTTAGTTCTCAAGTGATAACGCATCTGTATTTAAATTAGAAAGCTTTGAAAGATTTCGATGGCTATGGGCCACGGCATATAATAAATGCTCTATTTTTTAGCTAGTCATAAAGTTTATCGAATAATGAGATTTCTTTCTGTTTTTCAGGTCTTCTAATGTTTTTCGTTGCGACGTACTCTCTTCTGGGCTACTATCTCTTCTCCGAGCACATAGATAACGGCCACTTCAAGACAATTAGCGACTCTTTTGTTAGCATGTTCGTTCTCCTAACCACAGCCAAGTGAGTTGATGGTAACTACACCGAGAGTTGCTTTTTATATCAATACGAGCGATCCGCCCCAGCTTTACACGGGTGGTCGCAGAAGAATCTTCTCGACACGTATTTGTCACTGAACTCCTCCTAAACGGCTAGACCGATTTTGATGAAATTTTTTGTGTGTGCTTGTGTGGGTCCCTGGATTTTTTGTTATAGGATAAGGATGACAAACGAGCACATAGTCCACCTGATGGTAAGTGGTTGCTGTGGCCGATAGATATCTACATATATCATTAATAGAATCAGGCGTTACTTTGCGGAAATCCATTATATTAAAGTTGGTATAAATTACCTCGCGTACATCCGCTCGATAAAATAAAATAATGTGTATTACCTAGTTTGAAGAGCGCCTCCTGCCCTCCCTCAATTGCGTGCATTATGCTCGTCACCACCAATCCCAGCACCACTACTCCCAACACCACTACACTAGGAAAGGCACACCACTAACGACAATACGACACTAGTTTCGCCTCTACACGAGGCATCTTCAAGTGATGTAAACTCTGCGGTGGCTGACCGCTAAGTGAGTGGCGAGCCAAAACAATTGCTATCTTAGCTATGTTATGCTATAGCTATATTATGCTAGCGATTATTCATACGGTTGCGTTAGCGGGTTGTATAAAAAATTACCAATTTTAGTGGTGTCTGCGGGAATCGAACAAGGGTCGATCGCGTAATGTGAAATTTGAATATTTGAACCGCTTAGAGCCGCAATTATGACACACTAAGGTTATTTTTATTTACTCACTTTCCAGCTTCCCCGATGTTATGATGCCTTCGTACGCCAAGTCAAAATGGTACGCGCTGTTCTTCATTCTCTACATCATCACGGTTCTTTACGTGCTAATGAATTTGGTAAGTGTTTTGCACTTTTATAAATAAACATAATAATTTCTTATAACTATTTTTGTCACCACGTATCATCGTAAATAAAATGCCTACCCGTCCATGTAACAGGTATGAGAGTTTATGTATTTATTCATATTAAAAATTTCCTCTAATTATATTCAAAATTTGGTGATTTACTTATCATACAATATTTTATTATATACTATATTAAAAACTATAATAAAAAAAAACTAAAATTAATAGGTAACTTAATTATCATACATACATCCTACTCTCCGTGGTATCGTGCCAAGAACGCTGGCTGCGTTTCCCCGCTGAATGGCTATACTTAGCCTTTGAGCGAGAAAAGAACCAGCCCTCTTATCACCAGCAGCAACGACCAGTCGCGAATAGAGTTCCTTTAGGAACTTCACCGCACGTGGACCGCACGTGGACCCCACGGACCGATAGTCTCCACAGCAAATGGCACAGATATGTGGTTTAGTAGATCTCTCAGAGACTCATATTTGCCCCACTTACTTGTTCTTTATATAAATCAATTATAAGCCCTCTTCATCATCATTATAGCCTCTCACAAGTCCACTGCTGAACATAGGCCTCCCCCATAAGCCCTCTTAAAAGTACCAAATCAGAATTTAATTATCGAAATGATTATTTTGCGCCTAATATAAATCAACATTTTCTACCATTCCGTTTCATTACAGCCTATAATAGTCTACTACTAAGCACGGACCATCCGCATGCCTTATAGGTAGGATTCTGCCATAGTTGCCCCACTTGGCAGGCGGGATGGCAACCGCAGTTTTGGAACGAAGTTCCTTATCGCACGGTACGAATTTGACGGATGGGGGCTAAGCGAGAAAAAGTGTAAGAATTTTCCGTCACGACCCTCTTTCTATAGTGCGAGCGAGATGGAATAATATCCCTCTCCCTCGCACTTTTTCTTTTCATAACTTGCCATGAAAGAAATATTATTTTAAATCTTCATTTTATAGACGCTAGAAATTCATTTATTTGTATTTGTTAATCAATAATATAATACGTTTATAATAATGTACTACGAAAGGAACTTCGTTCCATCCGAGTGTTCCACGACACTCACGCATGTTTTATTTTATTTATTTTTTATTATTAGATACATGCTTACAAGCTAATAGATGATAGCATCCAACACGCTTCTAACATTAGATACATTAAATTAACATTAAATCAATTTTAAGTCATAATCTTAATTAAATAAAGCACATAACATTAAATTAAAAAAAAAACGAAATTAGTCATATTAATATTACACATCATTAAAATATTAAATAAAGTCAATGTCAGGGTTAAAAAATTATACAATGTCAGTTATATTCTAACTTAATTTTTTATTAATCTTAATTTACTAATAAGTTTCATCAATCCATCAGCAAATAAGTTCAGATCATCGTACTGAGCAAGTATGTCACCAATCATTTTATTACTTAGAGTTATTACGTAGAAGATGTGCTACCCATCTCCTCTTTGAGTTTTCCTCTGTCGCTTCTTACGACATCCACGGGACGATATGGTGTAATGGATTTACATCACTACTACACGGTGGTGTGTGCAATGTCTTGTGTATTTTATAAATACGACATTTATCCGCCTGCCCTAGAACAAGTTTAATGTTTTCGCGAAACACAACGCACACACGGACTGTAGTAATGTTAATTGTCTATGGTCAGATGTTGGCCGTGGTGTACGAGACGTTCACTCGCATAGAGCGCGAGAAGTGCCGCGCGCTGTTGCTGCACAGGCGTGTGGCGGCGAGGCGTGCCTTCCGGCTGCTGGTGTCGCGACGCGCGCCGCACGCGGTGCGATTGCGTCACTTCGCGGGACTCATGCGACACTACGCGCCGCACTATAGTAAGAACTCTTTTTAATATGTGGCTCACGGCCAGGTTGTACTAAATATCGTATTTTAGACACAATTTTGATTTCAATTAAAATTAAAAAAAAAATACTTTGTGAGTGTGCCTCCACGTGATGTCGCACACAAATCTGAATGAGATTATGTAACCTTCTAGACATATGCCTGCAGCGGAGAAGGGAGGAAATCCTCGCCCTTTGCTGAGCATTAGAACTCCCCCAAAGATTTAGCAGTTCTATATTTCTATGTTCAGCATTGTACTAGATATACTCATAGGGGGGATATTTGCCATGACCGCTATGTTTGGCGCCGCCACTAAACGGCTCAATTGCTGTACTTTTATATCTATACAAATAAATAAAGTGTATGTGTGTAGGTGTCTGTTTATAATGTCAAAATAACATTTTTTACTACATGTATATGAAAGTATATACGGAACTTATAAGAAATAAACAATTTTAAAATTTTTGGTCTATCTGTCTGTTTGTTCCGGCTAATCTCCGAAATGGCTGGACCGATTTTGACGGAACTTTCACTGGCCAATGTTATAAGGAGTAACGTAGGCTACTTTTATTTTAGAAAAATAATTAGGGTTCCGCGCAAAAAAATTAAAACCCTAAATTACACGCGGGCGAAGTCGCGGTAAACACTTTCTTTCTTAATAAAAGTAAGGATGACAAACACCGTGTGGTGGGGACGTAAGAGAATCTTACGCCTTCCGATATATGGCCGTATAACCTTCTCGGTGTAAGATACACAAATCGGCAACAGCGTTAAATTTGTGAGACTTCTACTACTGCAATCGCCAATTTGCCTGTCAAGTGTGGTGAATAAACAAATCCCGCTTGCAATTTGAGAGGCCCATGTCCAGCAGTGAAATTTTGTGGGCTAGTGAAAAATAGAAAGTTGACAAACGAGAACACAGTCCACTTGATATTAAGTAGATAAATTATAGAATGCTAGTTGAAATGCTCGAAGGACCAAAATAAATTATAGAATGCTAGTCCAAATGCTCGAAGGACCAAAATAAATTATAGAATGCTAGTCCAAATGCTCGAAGGACCAAAATAAATTATAGAATGCTAGTCCAAATGCTCGAAGGACCATAATAAATTATAGAAAGCTAGTTCAAATGCTGATGGACCAAAAAATGTTGAGGGTATTTCCCTAACACTTTATAATAATTAAGGCTAATTGACAACAACCGTCTCTTAACCCATTAGTTTTTAATCCTGTCCTACTTGATTCCGCTTAGCAACTATTCCCTAAATCTATCGCAGACTAAATCTTGTAGATGTGTATGTTTGCCTCTTTTTAAGGTCGCTTTTTCGATTCATTGACTTTCAAATCACAACGATTTTAAAGAAGTTTGCAGTTCAAAAGGCCAAGAATGTTTAGTTAACATTTGCCCCTGGCAGGCGGGCTGGACGTGTACCTGATGTTCAAGCAGCTGAACGTGTCGGGGTCGGGCGGGCTGTCGCGCGGCGAGTTCGCGAACGTGTACGAGGTGTTCGCGCTGCGCTGGGCGCCGCAGTCGGCGCGCGCGCCCTGGTACGGCGCGTCGCCGCTCGAGCCGCTCGCGCGCGCCGCCGCCGCCGCCGTGCGCTGGCCCTACTTCGAGCACCTCGTCTGTGAGTCCACGCTCCGCGCTTGTTGCTACTGTATTTTCATTCTTCGCTAACAGCCACACAAATAGCGCTAAATTCGCTGTAATTTTGGACGTGGTAGAGCCATGCTGCAGTTATATTAGTGGTATAGTTGTAGCACAAATGGGTCGGCTCGACCGGGGAAGGACCGCGCTCTCACAGAATACCAGCGTAAAATAGCAGCATAACGCTGCTATATTTCGTACGGTAAATCCTTTTTACTGGAAACGATAAATTCCATCTAAGTCCTCTCGGGTGACGACGCATCTGCATTTTGATTTGTAATCGAGGGTAGATGAAGATATCTATGGGCTACAGCAACCAATTACCATCAGGTGGACTGTATGCTCCTTTGTCACACTATCCTATATAAAAAAATTTGCACGTCAAAAAAGCGCTAGATTTCCTGCTAACTTTGGCCTGTGAATCGTTAAATAAAAAAAATCAAATTAAATCAATTTAATGAAACAAAACCAACATCAAATTCTATAATATTGTTATAAAGAACTTTCATAACATCCATAACTACCTCGAAGGGTCAATACCTGCGCAGCTTAATAAATATGTTTATCTTTGATGTTGATGTTACGATTCGCCAAAAACACGACTAATTTTGGCCCGCGAAAGTCTTTATACCTTACAGCCTAGTCTGATTTGTATTTTGTCCACTAAAAATCTTTGCTATATGCTGATGCGCCACATTTCTAAGTTCTTGCGAAATTTTGATTGAATTGATTGATGAAATTTTGACAGTTTAACTCAACGGACGATTAATATCGATAATACCTTTTTTTTATAGGATAAGGGTGACAAACGAGCACACAGTCCACCTGATGGTAAGTGATTGCTGTGGCCCATAGACATCTACATCTATCCTCGCTTGCGAATTAAAATGCAGATGTGTTGTCACCCGTGAGGACTAAGATGGAATACCTCTTTTTCCAGTAAAAAGGGTCTCCGGTTCTCTACACTCGCCATAAGAAACACAGCAGTTTTAAGCTGCTATTTTACGCTGGTATTCTGTGAGAGCGTGGCCCTTCCCCGGTCGAGCCGACCCATTCGTGCTACAACTATACTACTAATATAGCTGCAGCATGGCTCTACCACGTATAAAAACTCCACGTATAAAAACAAAATCATGCCTCATTTATGTATTAAAATCTAATTTTAACCACTATTTGAACAATGAAACAAGAACAGTTAACTGCCAAAGATCAAATTCTCGCTAAAACTCCTGAATATATTTCGGTTTATATTTTTCAGAGTGTTCAGTATATATTCATAGCAGCAAAACGCTGCTTGTTATCATGGTAACTACACAACAGTATTATGAACAACATTAATAACGATAGGATTAAACAACATTAATTAAAAAAAATATAACATTTTTATCTCCAGATGCGCTAATCATCGGTAACGGTGTGTCGATGGTACTCCGTGTGTGCGAAGCTGCGGGCGACTTACAAGACAGCGCGCGGCTCCTGTGTGCCTCCTGGGACACTTGGCTATTCCTCACACGTAAGTCAACATGGGTCAAAAACATTGATCATTGAAATAACTATAGTTTCTTGGTATTTTTTTATATTTTTTTGAAATATCAAATATTGGATCAAATTTCGTATTGGAACTTTCGTATATAAGGTACAAAGACACCACTATTTGAAGATTTAATTTTGTTCTATTTGAATTTTGTTCTATATTACTCTTGAATTAATTGGGTGGTGATCAACTGTTTTTAGTCTGAACGCAGTAAACCCTGCGGGTTACCGTCAATCTCAGTAGAATATGGTGCAGATTAATATTAAAGTAATTAAAATTCCATTTATTTTATCAAATTTATGATTTAAAAAAAAAAAACTTCAAGTTTTTGTCGTAAAATATAGTCCAGAATCCAGATCCCTCCTTGTTTGAAGCTGTCGGCCCATCTCGACACTCACCGAAGAGCACCGCGATGGGATTTTGATTTTGAAGTTTGAACCGCCATTTTACCGACGGCTCACCAACGATATGCTCCGCAGATCTGTTAGTATCACCGCGGGATGCGGTGCACCGACAGCGCGGCGAAACAAATGCAACTACGAGCCTTTTTTAACCGCAACAATTTTAGTATAATGGTTTGGATTAGCTATTGGAGCTGGAGTTACCGTGGTTGCTGGCATCAGACTTGAATTCCAATTGTTCCTAGTTAAAATATTTAAAGTGTATCTGTTCGTAGAGATTCATCACAATCGGTTCAGCCATTCCGAAAATTAGCCCAGACAGACATACAAACAGACAGACAGGCAAACATTTTAAAATTTTTTGCCTGTCTGTCTCTCTGTTTATGTCAGCATGCAAATAACTCCTTGAGCTAAAGCTATCTATAAATAGAAGCCACTTTTTTAAATAAAACTAATTTTACGGATTTTATCGCGTATATTAACTTATTTTTATATTCCCGACGTTTCGGGTGCTTTCCAGCACCCGTGGTCACGGGGGACTGAGTTGTTTGACGTCCTGCTGTCATAGTTAGCCCGGCTACCTTCAGTTTTTTAATATTAATTTTTGGTTCGATTTACGCAGAATGAGCTTACAGTATCTTGAAGTCTAGCAGTGGTATACTTGGGTTTGGATTTGATTTTATTAATTATGGGATCCCAAGCAGATGGCAGCACCCATCCATCTTCTCTATTGAAATTAGGATGTTTTTTAATTTCAATAGCCTCGCGAATCATCCTTGGGAGGAATCGGTGTTCTTTTGCGAGGATTTGTGGTCTATCAAATCTAATGTAATGACGGGGACGATCCTGAACATGTTCACAAACTGCAGACTTCCCGATACGTCGGTGCTTCACGTCAGCTATATGTTCTTTAACGCGAGTTTTAATAGATCTTTTTGTTTGTCCTATGTACGAGAGACCACATTCACAATCCAGCTTGTACACTCCTGCATCTTGTAGAGGGATATGACACTTGACGGATGGTAAAAATTGACCAATCTTCTTCAGCGGCTTGAAGTACGTTTTAATGGAAGCTCGCTTCAAGATGTAGCCAACCTTGTCTGTGACTCCTCTGACATAGGGTAGTACAGCAGGCACACGCTCAACTGTGGCTGGCTTCACTCGGTCACTGTGACGTAGGCGCGGGACCCGAAGCTTGTTGTCTTGCAGTACTTGCTCGACGTGCTGAAGCTCGGCGGCCAGATGTTTTCTGTCACAGATCCCTCGTGCTCTCTGAAACAAAGATTTTCCCACGGTAGCTAACTGTGAAGGATGATGGTGAGATTCACCATTTAAATATCGGTTGGTATGGGTATTTTTTCTGTACACAGTATGACCAATAGTGTTATCAGGATTTCGGATGACTAAAACATCTAGAAAAGCTAAAGTATTGTTTGCCTCTAACTCCATTGTGAATTGTATTTTAGGGTTTATGGAATTAAGGTGGTTTAAAAATGCAGTTACTTTGTCAGATGGTAAAATTGTGAAAGTATCGTCTACGTACCGCTTGTAGAATCTTGGATTTACAGGAGCAGTAAGAAGGGCTTTCTCCTCAAAGTCCTCCATGAATATGTCGGCGACTACGGGAGATACAGGTGAGCCCATTGCCACTCCGTCTACTTGCATGTAGAACTCTTCTTTCCACAATAAATAGCCAGATGTGAGGCAGTGTTTGAGTAATACTGCATATTCTGTAGGCATGTTGTTATCTTCTAGCTTTCTAGTAACAATTGAGATGCAGTCTTCAATAGGTAGGCATGTGAATAGTGACTGAACATCAAAACTGACCATAGTTTCATTGTCAGCGAGATGTAGGTCTTTAATCTCACTAACAAATTGGTATGAATCCTTTGTGTGTGCTCTGGTATGTCCTCTTAGTGGTGACAGTATTTTTGCCAAGTGTTGAGCCAACTTATAAGTTGGTGAATCGATCTGGCTTACTATAGGACGTAGTGGAGCGTTTGGTTTGTGTATTTTCGGTAACCCATACAACCTCGGTGGTTTGGCACATGATGGTATTGTCGAATTCACGTCAAGATCTAATTTTTCGGAGTATTTCTTTATTAAATCAGTGGTTGTTTTGAGTGTATTAGTTGTAGGGTCTATTTTGACCTTTTTGTATGTACTTACGTCCGATAAAAGTTGTTGTATTTTGAAATTATACTCTGACGTGTCCATTATTACCGTAGCATTTCCTTTATCCGCGCGGAGAATCGTGAGCTCGGGTCTGTTGCGTAAGTTGTACAACGCTTTAAATTCGTCTTTCGGAAGATTTAGTTTCGGCGCTGAACTTCGACGTAACAAGGACGAAATGTCTTGACGTATAGCCTCTAAATCCTCTTTACCGATATTATTCTTAAACAGACAATCCTCAACACTACAGATAATTTCCTCGTACGGTATTTTTTGCGGCGTTATAGCAAAATTTAAGCCTTTCGACAATACTTTCATTGTAGATTCGTCCAGTATTTCTTTTGACAAATTATAGACCGTGCGTTGTTTATTGTTTGCGTCTGTGGTCAACGGTTGTTGCGTTTCGTTTCTACGTTGACATGGATGTTTGGCATTTGATTTGATAGTTAATTTTTGGTATTTTTCTATTTGTTTGTCTTTGCATTCATTATATTTCGATATTTCGCGTTTGTTTAAAGTTTCAATGCAATTATTAAAATCAAATGTCGTTAAAACTGTCTTTAACTCACTGGACAAATTGTCTATGGTATTATTTATGATTTGTAAATCGAACCGTTTTTGCTGAATCACCGATCGTAACAACTTTTTACTTGCCTGATTTAAGATCTTAGCGCTTCCTCGAATGTCCTTTTTAGTAGATATTTTGACGCACGTAGGAATGAGCTGGTGGTCGCGGTACCTTTTCAGAAAATTCAATGATGTTACATATCTTGCGCGCTTGGTCATGAGATCTTCTAATCGGCGAATTTTATTTGCAATTACCAGTCCGTACTGGTTTACATAATGATTTCTTATATTTACGCGAACACTACACATTTTTAAATAAAACTAATTTTACGGATTTTATCGCGTATATTAACTTATTTTTATATTCCCGACGTTTCGGGTGCTTTCCAGCACCCGTGGTCACGGGGGACTGAGTTGTTTGACGTCCTGCTGTCATAGTTAGCCCGGCTACCTTCAGTTTTTTAATATTATCAACCAAAAATTAATTAACTATGACAGCAGGACGTCAAACAACTCAGTCCCCCGTGACCACGGGTGCTGGAAAGCACCCGAAACGTCGGGAATATAAAAATAAGTTAATATACGCGATAAAATCCGTAAAATTAGTTTTATTTAAAAATGTGTAGTGTTCGCGTAAATATAAGAAATCATTATGTAAACCAGTACGGACTGGTAATTGCAAATAAAATTCGCCGATTAGAAGATCTCATGACCAAGCGCGCAAGATATGTAACATCATTGAATTTTCTGAAAAGGTGCCGCGACCACCAGCTCATTCCTACGTGCGTCAAAATATCTACTAAAAAGGACATTCGAGGAAGCGCTAAGATCTTAAATCAGGCAAGTAAAAAGTTGTTACGATCGGTGATTCAGCAAAAACGGTTCGATTTACAAATCATAAATAATACCATAGACAATTTGTCCAGTGAGTTAAAGACAGTTTTAACGACATTTGATTTTAATAATTGCATTGAAACTTTAAACAAACGCGAAATATCGCAATATAATGAATGCAAAGACAAACAAATAGAAAAATACCAAAAATTAACTATCAAATCAAATGCCAAACATCCATGTCAACGTAGAAACGAAACGCAACAACCGTTGACCACAGACGCAAACAATAAACAACGCACGGTCTATAATTTGTCAAAAGAAATACTGGACGAATCTACAATGAAAGTATTGTCGAAAGGCTTAAATTTTGCTATAACGCCGCAAAAAATACCGTACGAGGAAATTATCTGTAGTGTTGAGGATTGTCTGTTTAAGAATAATATCGGTAAAGAGGATTTAGAGGCTATACGTCAAGACATTTCGTCCTTGTTACGTCGAAGTTCAGCGCCGAAACTAAATCTTCCGAAAGACGAATTTAAAGCGTTGTACAACTTACGCAACAGACCCGAGCTCACGATTCTCCGCGCGGATAAAGGAAATGCTACGGTAATAATGGACACGTCAGAGTATAATTTCAAAATACAACAACTTTTATCGGACGTAAGTACATACAAAAAGGTCAAAATAGACCCTACAACTAATACACTCAAAACAACCACTGATTTAATAAAGAAATACTCCGAAAAATTAGATCTTGACGTGAATTCGACAATACCATCATGTGCCAAACCACCGAGGTTGTATGGGTTACCGAAAATACACAAACCAAACGCTCCACTACGTCCTATAGTAAGCCAGATCGATTCACCAACTTATAAGTTGGCTCAACACTTGGCAAAAATACTGTCACCACTAAGAGGACATACCCAGAGCACACACAAAGGATTCATACCAATTTGTTAGTGAGATTAAAGACCTACATCTCGCTGACAATGAAACTATGGTCAGTTTTGATGTTCAGTCACTATTCACATGCCTACCTATTGAAGACTGCATCTCAATTGTTACTAGAAAGCTAGAAGATAACAACATGCCTACAGAATATGCAGTATTACTCAAACACTGCCTCACATCTGGCTATTTATTGTGGAAAGAAGAGTTCTACATGCAAGTAGACGGAGTGGCAATGGGCTCACCTATATCTCCCGTAGTCGCCGACATATTCATGGAGGACTTTGAGGAGAAAGCCCTTCTTACTGCTCCTGTAAATCCAAGATTCTACAAGCGGTACGTAGACGATACTTTCACAATTTTACCATCTGACAAAGTAACTGCATTTTTAAACCACCTTAATTCCATAAACCCTAAAATACAATTCACAATGGAGTTAGAGGCAAACAATACTTTAGCTTTTCTAGATGTTTTAGTCATCCGAAATCCTGATAACACTATTGGTCATACTGTGTACAGAAAAAATACCCATACCAACCGATATTTAAATGGTGAATCTCACCATCATCCTTCACAGTTAGCTACCGTGGGAAAATCTTTGTTTCAGAGAGCACGAGGGATCTGTGACAGAAAACATCTGGCCGCCGAGCTTCAGCACGTCGAGCAAGTACTGCAAGACAACAAGCTTCGGGTCCCGCGCCTACGTCACAGTGACCGAGTGAAGCCAGCCACAGTTGAGCGTGTGCCTGCTGTACTACCCTATGTCAGAGGAGTCACAGACAAGGTTGGCTACATCTTGAAGCGAGCTTCCATTAAAACGTACTTCAAGCCGCTGAAGAAGATTGGTCAATTTTTACCATCCGTCAAGTGTCATATCCCTCTACAAGATGCAGGAGTGTACAAGCTGGATTGTGAATGTGGTCTCTCGTACATAGGACAAACAAAAAGATCTATTAAAACTCGCGTTAAAGAACATATAGCTGACGTGAAGCACCGACGTATCGGGAAGTCTGCAGTTTGTGAACATGTTCAGGATCGTCCCCGTCATTACATTAGATTTGATAGACCACAAATCCTCGCAAAAGAACACCGATTCCTCCCAAGGATGATTCGCGAGGCTATTGAAATTAAAAAACATCCTAATTTCAATAGAGAAGATGGATGGGTGCTGCCATCTGCTTGGGATCCCATAATTAATAAAATCAAATCCAAACCCAAGTATACCACTGCTAGACTTCAAGATACTGTAAGCTCATTCTGCGTAAATCGAACCAAAAATTAATATTAAAAAACTGAAGGTAGCCGGGCTAACTATGACAGCAGGACGTCAAACAACTCAGTCCCCCGTGACCACGGGTGCTGGAAAGCACCCGAAACGTCGGGAATATAAAAATAAGTTAATATACGCGATAAAATCCGTAAAATTAGTTTTATTTAAAAATGTGTAGTGTTCGCGTAAATATAAGAAGCCACTTATTTAATAATTTTTAGCCTACTGCCATTTCAAAATTGTAAATGCTGAGCCAGCCCTAGATGCTACAGCGCATTGGTTTAGCTTATACTACACTGCAGCTCTTTACTAATCCTCTGCCAAATAAATAATATAATCCATATCCGCATCCATAATAAAATAGATAGTCCTACAATATTAAGAAGAGTGGGGTTATTGGCTCCGAAGCGGCTGGGCTATGATGTGGAGGGGACGGTGGCACCGCGGCGGCGGCCGCGTCTTCTGTGGCGGCCGCCGCCGCGCGCCAGGTGCGCACTACTCGCGCTATACGGCTTATTGGAGACTAGCTGTTCCCCGCGACTTCGTTCGCGTGTTAGGGTTTTTATGTTTTTGCGCGGAACCCTAATTCTTTTTCTAAAACAAAAGTAGCCTAAGTTACTCCTTATGAAATCAGCTATCTGCCAGTGAAAGTCCCGTCAAAATCGGTCCAGCCGTTTCGGAGATTACCCGGAACAAACAGACAGACAGACAAAAATTTTAAAAATTGTATTTTAGTTATAGGTACCGTATTTACTTTCATATACATTTAGTAAAAAACTGTAATTTTGACATTACAAACAGACACTTCAATTTTATTTATTTGTATAGATATGCTCGCACATGATTACGAGACTGACTTAATTGCTGATAGCTTTAGGCAACTATGTAATAAAGCCCTTCTATTTTTTACATCTAATTTTGACATATTGTGATATATTAATTTAATCTTAGGTTAGTTAATTTGACAATGATATTTTGCCTACTCTATTTGACATGTATTTTAATCAATTACTTATTATTTAAAAGTGTAATTTGTAAATTAGCATGCTGGCGTTTTGGGCATACTGTAAGCCAGCATGTACACTGTTTTAAAATAAATAAATAAAGGCCTCCCCTGTAGATTACCACAAAGTACGATTTGTAAAAAATAATTTTTAGCTTGCTGTAATTTCAAAATTGGACGTGGTTATGCAAAAAGGATCCAACCCGAGTTTGTGTCAAAAATGTTGACTTGAAAAATAATGTTTGTGGTCTATACTATTATGTGATGTAACAATTTTAGCAAACGTAACACAAATAAGAAGAGAATTACAAACAGACAGAAACCATACCGATAATTTGAGTTTATGATATTTGAAGTATCCATACTTCAAATATCATAAACTTAAATTAACTTATCGCGGGTTGGATCCTTTTTGCATAACTACGTCCAATTGTAAGTGGTTCTCAAAGTCTACGACAAAACAAAGGATTCCACAAAGATTGCCACAAAGTACGGTCCTGAGCCACCTGTACTTGCACTGCCACCATCTAGTGAGGGGGGGTCCCAACACTGCTATTGCCAGTACAAAGCTGCCACGAGAACCTTTCTTTCCTACCAGTTGTCGGTTTTACGAGCCATATTATGACCGTCCCATTTTCACATCAGCTTACTGATCCGATTGACTATGTCTCCTGTTGTATACGGATATCCTCGTTACGGACATCTCTTACGCGTTGTCTCGTAACGTTTCTTATACCGCCCACACATGTCAAGATGTAAACATTTCTTTAATAAGTTTCAATGGAATTTATAATTTCTAGTATTCCTTCTGGAGGCGGCTCTACGCATGATGGCATCAGGTCTCACAGTGTACCTGGAGAGCGGCTGGAACGTGTTTGACCTGAGCGTGACGCTGCTGGCGCTCGTCGGCGCGGTCATGCTTAGCATTGCTCCAAAGCTATTTATAGTGGTCATGTTTAGACCTTTAAGGTAAATTGTGATTTGATATAGTATCAATATCTTGTGTTATATGTTTTTTTGAACCGGGAAGTTAGTTTAAAATCGATTCAAAAAAAATATACATATCAAAGTGTTTTAGCTACTAGCTCGCCAGGCAGACGTTGTTCTGCCCTTTCCAACGACCCTTCCTATAAAAATCTTTAAATTCGCAATAAAAATTTTTGAGGGTCACTTATCGGGATAAAAACTATCCTATCTCTCAAGTTGGACCAAAATGCACACAGTGTGCAAAATTTCATTAAAATCAGTTCAGTACTTTAGGAGTCCATCGCGGACAAACAACGTGACACGTAATTTTTATATATAAAGATTTTTATTCAGTTATGAGAATGGATTATTATTATAATAACTAACTGGAATACTATCTCCCTTGTAAGATCGTGGTCATACCTAAACATTAATTTAAAAAAAAAAAAACTAAAAAGCTATATTTAAAGGTTTTAATTCTTTAGCTCATTGGGATGTTAGTTTGAAATCGATTTTAAAATTTGAGCAGAACAGACAAACAGAGAAGGAAAAACGCACTAAAATACCTACCACATAGAGTTTTGACCCATCCCTGCCATCTCTTCTTTTCTAATGACGACGGACATATGTGGACTCTTTTTTATAAAAAAATATGGTGACTTTTTAAAGGTTAATGCGACTATACAAGTTGAAGAAGCGCTACCGTGACGTGTTCGGTACGCTGGTGCTACTGTCGCCGCTGATGTCGTCCGCGGGCTGCGTCATGCTCGTCATGTACTACTTCTTCGCCATCGTCGGCATGGAGCTGTTCGCCGGCTACGACCTCAAGAACTGCTGCGTGTAAGTAAGCTTTACAGAGACTTAGAGATTTAGCTATAGATATAGTTTATATATGGTAAAAACTAAAGGCAAAAAGAAATTATTTATTGCATGTCACATTACAAAAACAATGACCATTTTGGACTAGGAAAAAACATAAATTGTTACCGGCATGACACTGTCACCATAATGTAGAACATTGGTAATGTAATTAAGGAATATAATCAGTTTAATTTAGAAGCTAGGGAAATAAAAAATATTAGTTTACTTATCACAACACAGTTTTAAATATCTTATTATTGAACGTATCGCAATCCTAATTATCTACGTTCCACAAAGAGTATTTATCTACGGCTTACTTTTACTAGATAAGTCCAAAGAGTATATAATCTAATAAAAGTACTCTGTGATACGTTTTATCCATATTGTTCCTAAAGTCTAAATTTATATTAATTCTGAATCGGATTTAAATTCCAGACAATGGCAACCATATAAACGTATGTTACTTAATTGGACTAACAAAAAACTTTCATTTTAAAATGCCACAGATTCAATATATACCACATAACCTCAAAAAAGTCATTGCCTAATTACTAGAATTTCTGTAGGTACTTTTAAAAATATACTGAATTCCGTATTATTTTATATTTAAATAGACAAAAGAAACGACATATTTTTCACCAACTTATGTTATATTAGATTTTACTAGTCCAAGTATATTAGAAGAGTGGCCATTTTTCTTACTACAAAGCTGATACTATGCATATATTCATAAAATTACAGCTGATTACGTACTACTCGAGGGCACTGGTCTTGTCTCATGTCTGAGAGGGTCCTGGGGCACGGAAGTGTGTGTTTACAACGTGATAATGCCACGCTGCAGCTATGTTATGGCTGTAGCACGAATAGGTCGGCTCCTCACGGGATGGACCACACTCTCACAGAATACCAGCGTGTTATAGCAGCATAATGCCGTTTTGGAGTGTTGAGAACCGGATACATTTTTACTAGAAACGAGGCATTCTATCGTAGTCATCAGGGCGTAGGCATTGAAATAATAACGGATAGATGTAGATGTCTATAGGCCACAGGATTCACTTACCATCAGGATATACTGTGGGCTCATTTGCTATCCTTATTCTATAAAAAAAAATCCTTCACTCTATTCTATTTCACGCGGATACGTCGCGTATGATAAACGAAAATATTACACTCTGTTTTGGAACTGGAAAAGTAAAACAAAAAAAGATTGAGGTTTGTGCTTTTTTTGTCCGTTTTCCGTTGTCCGACGCTATTGTTGTATAATCACAGAGTTGCTAAAGTTTCCAGATTACAATTGAAATTGTCGTTTCCCTTACAGAAACACAACAGTGGAGGACTTCTACAAGTTCTCGGAGAACAGCTCAACTGCTCTGGGCTATTACTATCTGAACAATTTCGAGAACATTCTGACGAGCGGCGTGACCCTGTTCGAGCTGACGGTAGTTAACAACTGGTTCATATTGATGAACGCTTACGCAACTGTCGCCGGGCAGTTCAGTAGAATTTATTTTATGGTGAGGAATTATCTTTGTAATTTATTTAGTCTTTTTGCATACTTATTAAATGGATGTTGGTATGTAACAAGGATCTAAACCACAAAAGCTAATTATGAGATATTGATGTTAAAGGTATGAAAGGAAAAATTAAAAATTAACGTTACAGCCCATATATTACCACTCCAAGAAAGAAAAATTCGTCAAGGACTAACATCCAGACCCTGGACATTTAATTGTCCGTCAAACTTTGTATGTGGTACAAATATTTTTATATTTTTTTATATTTATATTTACCAGGGGTCATCAGCAATCTTTAGCCAATGCACCGCCAAACCTTAATACATTAATCCACCGTGCTGCCCCAGTGCGTGTTGGCGGTTTTCGCATTTCTTCGAAATATTTTTATTCCTCAGTCATGCAGGTTTCCTTACGATTTTTTCCTTTACCGTCGAGCATGTGGTACGTCAAATTACAATTCAATTGGTGACGGCAGGAATTTCAATCGGTTCCCTATCATGCTATGATTTTTTTAATTATTGTAGTAGGTATTTTCTAATTTTTTAACTGTCAATAGGTGTTCTACCTTTTCACGATGGTCGTATTGACGATCGTGGTGGCCAGCGTGCTGGAGGCGTTTAGATTTAGGATACAGTACAAGAGGAGCACTACAAAGAGAGATGGTGAGTGTTTTAGCTGTTAAATGATTTTTTTTTGTAACTATATTTTCACGGCGGAAATTGCGAGGAAGAATTTCTTTGCAGAAAAATCAAAAAATCAATCTTTAAAATAATCAGAAATATCAATAACTTAATAAGTGGAATAAAACTAATTTTATGGTTTTTATCGCGTTTTATTTTAACTTTTTTAATTCCCGACGTTTTAAACGCTATAAGCCTGAATTCGTCCTACGCTGACGTCAGTTGCGTACGATCGGTCGCGTACGTCAGCGAGAAATAAAATACCATAGTGCGAATCTATGATAATGCGATACTGAGCTTCGCATAGTGTATATATTCTTTAACCGAGCTCTATACGGTAAAGTCGTCCGCTAAGTTGATTTCGGAAAGGAGATCGGTCAGTAAAATACAATATTAATAATTACGATTATTAACATTGTCTTTTACTTACCGATCTCCTTTTTTTTACTATCGTCCTCATTATTGTAATCCGGAAATAAAGCCTCGGAAACTTCTACCCAGTATTTTGCTTTTCCCTCTTTGTACAAATCATTAGGTAAATAAGACGTTCTGTATCGATATCCATTGCAACTGTACGTACACGCGTGGATCGTCGGTAATAAAGCGAGGGCGTTCGCACTATTTCACGCTTGTTCGTCGACCGACGCGCGACGTACGCGGCGCTGACGAGCGTGACCGACGCGCGCGGTTCGCGGCGCGCAGCAAACTACGCGCCGCTGTCGTCAGCGTCGTAGTGTGGGGCTATATAGAACACAATGTAAATTAGTACGCGCTACCGACGTCAGCGTAGGAGGAATTCAAGCATAAAAAAAGTTAAAATTAAATGTAAAATTAGTTTTATTACATGTCTAGTATTCACGTACATTTAAGAAATCATTATCTTAAATCTTTTGATATATTATGTATAACAAACATTTCACGGATTAAGTTCGATACCGAACCATTTCATATGGTTAATGACCAAGAACAAGAGAAGCTTTTACTGATACCTCTGCCACGGACTCTTTATGACCTAATAATGTAAAATGCATTGTTCCAGAGGAGAAGCTACTTCACGAAGAAGTTCACACGAGTTGGGAGGAAGCTCAGCGGCTGGGTGCCAGTGGGGATCTGGCCGATGAACTGAGATCTTTCTTACCTGCGGGAGTAAGTTTAAATGCATGTTTGTTTAATAATATGTGACACCGCTTATGTTTTCTTTGTTTCGGACACCGAAATAAATGTTAAGTTATACCCTATATACATTCCAGAGCTGGATACAGACGTCCACTCAATAATCTTCTACTAATCTATCTCGTTTGCCATCCATTTAATATCTTTCAGTTTTGTTCACACAATGTTTCCGCACTTCTATCACCTTTTATATTTAATTCGTTCCTATTTATTTTTTATCATAAACTTCACAATATTATAAACATAGACATATATTTAATTATCATCAATACACTCACATAATATATATTTAGAAGTAAATAAAAACATAAAAAACATACAAAGTAGTTAAGTTTCGAGAGTGGTGCAGAAGCTTATTAAAACAACTAAATATGTCTCGATGACATTTATTACTATTACATTACCTACAATAATGTATTAAAACTATTTCAGTGTAATACTGACTTCCTTAACTAAGTGCATTACTTATACTTATTTATACGTGGTGTTTCATACGTGGTAGAGCTATGCTGCAGCTATATTAGTAGTATAGTTGTAGCACGAATGGGTCGGCTCGACCGGGGAAAGATCACGCTCTCACAGAATACCAGCGTAAAATAGCAGCTAACACTGCCGTGTTTCGTATGGGGAGTGTAGAGAATCGGAGACCTTTTTACTGGAAAAGAGCCATTCCATATTAGTCCTCACGGGTGATAACGCATCTGCATTTTGATTCGCCAACGGGGATAGATGTAGATGTCTATGGGTCACAGCAACCACTTACCATAAGGTGGACTGTGTTTTTTTTTATAGGATAAGGGTGACGTACGAGCACACATTCCACCTGATGGTAAGTGGTTGCTGCGGCCCATAGACATCTACATCTATCCTCGCATGCGAATCAAAATGCAGATGCGTTGTCACCCGTGAGGACCAAGATGGAATGCCTCATTTCCAGTAAAAAGGGCCTCCGGCCACCTGCACTCACCAAGCGAAACACAGAGGTAAACCTCTACTTCACGCTGGTATTCTGTGAGGTCGTGGTACCACCCCGGTTCGAGCCGGCCCATCCGTGCGACAGCAAAAGCTGCCGCGTGGGTCTACCACTGTTAAAAACTGTGTGCTCGTATGTCACCCTATCCTATAAAAAAAGTATACATTTTCAAGTAAGTATATACATAAAAATCATATATAATAATACTGTTTCGAAGAAGAAACTAAGAGTCCAACAACATATTTAACACTATTAAAAATTAAAAAGTGCATAAGTGAAATAAATATAAGTATTGTTTGTTTTGCAGGTGGAAGTAACGTTCATTGGCTCGAGACCACGTACAAAGGAAGTGTTGCAAAGACGTATGTATCAAGCTGAGATACAGAAGTGGTTGGCAGAGGAGGATGAAAGTGAAGGTAATCAAAATTACAAATTACAAAAATATCCTCAAAAAAAAACTCAATAACTAATCAGCAATCACGCTTATAACCACTAGACAGTCAAAATAATAATTACAGTGAACCCCCGGTAATCCGACAAACATTTTGCCGGGCAGTGTCGGACTATCGAATTTGTCGGATTATAGAGTACTGCCTAATACCCCCTATAGTCCGAAGTTTTTTATAAAAGAGTGCCTTGTAATCCGACAAATTCCAGATCCAATGATAAGATTCTATATGCTATATACATGTACTCTGAAGACCGCACCGCTATCTTCATCACATGTATGTAGTCAAATTCAAACTAAGCAATCAGAATCAAAACAATACCCTACGCGTCGAGCACAATAGTGGTGGTGCGTACAAGTTATAACTTGTTCAATCATGCATTTGCGAAAATTGTCAAAAAAATATCTAATAATAAATAATAAGACCATGTCGGATTACAGTCCACTGTTATATCATTGTCATTTACTTAATAGGGATTCATTATAAGTTGCCTCTTACAACACTCTAGAGACGAAATGGAGTGATGGATTTTCTTACGCCGTCACCACACAGTATACGTGTTTTAACAAATCTGATTTTTATACATCATCGTAAATTAAAAAAAAACCTTATATTTGTGCGTCAGTGCTATTTTCTACCGACTTCAAAAAGGAGACGGTACTCAATTCGACTGTATGTTTTTTTTATGTGTGTTACCTCATAACTTTTTACTGAGTGAACCGATTTCGATGATTCTTTTTTGATTTGAAAGCTGGTGCTCCACATGTGGTCCCATATAAATTATAATATCATAAAAATTGTTTAAGGTCAGATCAATCTCAGATCAGTTTTTGAGTTATTCTTAATAATTTTTATTGAAGTCGGTGTACAAAATTTGTAATTTTAATATTTTTTTTTTCTAATGATCGTTTTAAATTGCTACCTCTACCGTATCCTTACACGTATCGCAGAGAAAAATCTGAAAAATTATAAATAGTCATCACACAACATTTACATTGAAGGAAGATTTTCACATTACGTTATTATTTCTAGGCGTATTATTTCTAATTGAGTTTTAAGAATTATTTTTAAGTACATTTCGGAATTTGTTAGTGTAATCTATCACTAATTGAACATTTATTGTAGGTACATAGGTATATATAATTTTTATTCAATATTGATTATTACATAATTCTTATTGAAAGTTATTTTTTATTTACCACTGGTTCGGAAAATACCTCTGTCCTGGGAAGAACCAGCAAGAAACCCAGCGGGACTTTTTTTTCAAACATATTTCACCTAACAATAATTTCGTTTATACAATTTTTAAATGATTTTTCATAGAACACATTTCATAGAACATTTTTTAGGTGGCCATCACCTTATTCTCAGGGGTTATTTTCATTCATGTATTCCTTGATATTATAATAACCCTTTTTGTACAGTTTTTCTTTAATAAAACTTTTAAACTTGTTTATTGACAAACTTTGAATATGTTCTGGGATTTTTTGTAAAAGCGTATACATTGACCCATAAATGAATTACTGATTCTGTGGAGTCTAGTAACTGGTATTACAACAAGCTTATGTTTGTTCCTAGTGTTTAAAGTATGCATATCCTTATTCTTATCAAAGCTATTTATGTTTTTATGTACATACATTACATTTTCATAAATATATTGCGATGCCAAAGTTAATATGTTTATTTCTTTAAATTTTTGTCTGAGGGACTCTTTACAATTTAGGTTATAAATCGCCCGAACGGCTCTCTTTTGCAAAACAAATATAGCTTCAATATCACTCGCATTACCCCATAGCAAAATTCCATAAGACATTACGCTATGAAAGTAACTACTGCCTTTTGAGTTTGAAAATTAAAGAGGTATCGTCAGCAAATAATACTATATCGTGATTGTCCCCTACAAGATAAGGTAAGTCATTAATATAGATTAAAAACAGGAATGGGCCAAGAACCGAGCCCTGAGGAACGCCCATTGATACTACCGATCCGGAGGAACCTTTACCATTGATCACGACTTTTTAGTTCTGTTACTTAAATATGAAGTAACAAGTCTAAGCGCCAATTTTTTTACACCGTAATATTGTAGTTTCCTGATTAATGTCTCATGCAAACTCAAACACCGCTGCAAATTCTTGATTTGATTTAGTCAATTCATTGTTAATTTTTAATTGATAGTTTGAGTTACGAGGTTTGTCTTTACCGGTTTCACTGTTAATTATACTCCACGTCATTTTAATTTTATTCTTAGCCGTCTTAATTTTGTTGCTAATATGTAACGATTTGGCTGTGAAGCAAACTCTTTTAAACATTTTAGAATAATTTTTGACATATTCTTTAAAAGCATCGGAAGGTATATAATTATAATAATAATATATACAATACCCTTCAAACTTGAACACAACAGTGCACTTACTGTTATGTGACGTCAGAAATAGGTTAGAGGGTGGTATCTACCCTGACTGACTCTCAGACAGAAAAAGAGTCCTACGATCTGGTTCGCCAAATAAACTTTTTACTCATCTACAGATCTACCTCCATCTACTACGGTGACCTCAAGCGAGGATCCCCTCGCTCCTCCTCTCATCCAACAGCCTGATGCCGAGACCAATCACCAGATCAGAACAGGATATCAGTTGTAGGATATGATCCTACTTGCGTTACACAATAGACTCGTTTTTATATGGGACGCTTTGAAATCATTATGATAAACTATAATACACTGGTTGAGTGATTTTATATTTTAAGTTATTTTTAGACAATATATAATTTGTAAAAAAACCTTGTCCGATTCGTGAGGGTACTTTTAGGTTTCGTAAGATTCTGTTTATTTGCCGTCATGAAACAATACCGCCCCACGTTGGAAGATAACGTCGCCGACGACGATGTTGCCAGATTTCAAAATTTGCTGAAATTAAGCAAATTGCAGTAACATGTATTTTAAATAACAATAACATTTTATATTCATTAATAATATAATATTTCACCTTTTTTTGGTAATGTCATTGCAGTATCTACGTCACTCTTTCTAATCGGACAGGACGTTTTTTATAATATATTGTATAGAATTTATTATGAAACTGGTACACACACGCTGACGAATAAGTTTTTTTTACTTTGTGTTGATGTTTCCTAGGTCAGTATAAGGCCCCTCCAGGCTGCGTTACGTATTTGATAATATTATTGCCATCTCTATCTATCACGGTGCCAATTTTGCATCACATTGGCGTATTTTTTTTATTTCTTAATTTGATGATAATTCCATCAGAATGGCACATATTATACGGGTTATTAAAAAAAGAATATTTATTATTTTTCCTATCTCTGGTTCTTCGGAATATTTCTAGATTTAAACCCGTGTATTTTGGAAACTTAATACTCCTATGAATATCTGATAAACCATATACAATAACATATAGATATTATTTTCTAAATCTTTACAATTATTCATTGAGGCTGGTACGAATCTTCAACATAAACTTTATATGTTGATATTTTAAACTTTCAATGTTATTTTTTCCACCCTTAACATAAAGTAACTGTAAATAAAATTTTAAATGCGATAAGCTTCGTGAATGAATATTATTTGATTTTAAGTAAGAGTTAAGATGAAATAATTATTTAAAATATCATATATTATATAGTTATTTAAACTTATAGACTCGCGGGAAACATAGTATTATGCATTTTAGATGCAATTGTATTATTTAGGAGAAAATATAAAAACTCATAACCTAAGAATGCTTCAGCCTTAGTAAGAATATATTGATATTTTATCGATTATAACATCTGTGATAGCAAACTATGAAAGCAAAGCTTGACCAATTCTTTAATATTAGCTTAGCGAGTATTAATTTAATGTTTATTTAATACTTAATAATAATTTAGCCCATTCTTAAATACTGAGATTACGTTTTGGTTGTTTGTACACTTATCAAGTGCAATTCAATCAAAGAATTCAAATAATTAAAAAAATATAATTTTATTATTTTATATTTGTATTCTCTTGTTGGCCAAGATTTATCAACAATTCCGACCATATTTATTTGACTACATATTGACAGCAAAGTAAAAGTGAAATAGATGACACCACTTTCCTTAGAAATAGATGACTACATTGTTATATAGCTCTACTCTTTGGACGTCACTATGATATGGTCTGTACTTGGCTTCACATATGTCTTCAATCCATCAGTAATATTTTTTTTGTATAACGTATAAAAATGATGGCTACATTTTTTTCAAACTAATTCTCAAATTCGTTAGGAGCTAAACGATTAAGGCAAAGGCAGCTAATTATATTATTGTACATTTTAGCTTTTAACATCAGACCAATAAAGAGAGATAGTCATGCTCACCTTATTGTAAGAACACAATCTCACGCACACATAATGTTTTCTAATTTGCAACCAACCAGGTGTACGTGGTTGGTTGCACGTGCGTAGGTTGCCTAGTTGGCCGCCCCGTTTTCACTCTCAGACGCAATAGTGTGCGTAACAGAAAGTGGAAAAGAGAATAAAGATGTGTGCGTGTCAAGATATGTAATAATGTCCGCGCGTTCTATCTTCGCCGGGCTGAAGTTGGCTTTCCGAGACATTTGCGCATGTCGCTAGTCGATAAAGATTATTGCTTAATAGGGAAACAGTTTGTTTTGTCTATGTCGATTATATAATAAATTGAAAAGTATTATTATAATGAAAATATATTTATGTATTTCAATAAAACAATAGTATCTAATATAGAATTACAATAAGCAGTCTGAACATATAGTAAATACACGATATTAGCGGGGACAATAAATTCTTTCAGTAAACCCAAAATAATATAGGTAACTCTAAATTTTTCCATAAAATCTTTAATGCACATAATCATTGTGATTATCACAGTATTTAGAATGACGTGTTGAATTTACACACCATTGAACCATAAAAATATAATATAAAACTGAATCACTGCGACTGAACTCTTCACGAAATTGAGTGTGTAGTCAATTTATTCGGACTGCGATCGATTTTGACGTGCACTTCGTCAAGGTGACTTTACGAGTAGTGTAAAGGAGGCATTAAAACTATATCTACGCAGCCACACGCAACTAACTTCAGCCCGACCAAGATATAGCGCGCCGACTTTACGTAGCGTTCTGCCTGTCTTATGTTGCTCTGAGTCTGAGCTATTAATATAAATCTAATTAATGTAATGAATGAATAATGATATTATAATATGTATTTACGGGGTGAACACAGTATCACTAGATCATTACTATAGTGTAGAAATATCTATCAATTGTGGATAAGCGTTCGCATTTTAGACTAAGGGAGGATAAGTTATATTCACAGACTAGTTTACTCTTGTTAATCTGTTAAAAAAAGTAAATTGAACCATTGTAAATAAAATATTCTGCATGTATTTATGTACACGTGTCGTAAAGTTATAATATTTATTTATCAAACATGATTAAGTGCTGCATTAGGGTAGATCACAGACGTAATATTATCAAGTATTATGTCTGTGTGGTAGATTTAGTTTTAATTCAACATGATTATGTTACCCCATTATTTTGTTACTTTTTAATTTTACAGCTAACTTCATCCAATTAATAATTATTGCACGATGTGTATTATGGATGTGTATTATGTGCTTATGTATAACAAACCATTTTTTTTTCAAAACGATTTAAAAAATTCTAAAGTAGAATCTTAAACATAGAAGTAGAAAGTACGACATACAATATTTTATTGCGTTAGTAATTGGATGGAAATTGAAAATTAAAAATCTTATTAAAATATATCAACAAAAGCAAACCTAATAAAAATATAATAGTAACTAATAGAATGGACCATTACTTCGCGGAAATCAATTATATTAAAGATGTCGAAAATAAAACAGCTTAGATCCGCGTAATAAAAAAAAGATGTGACTTACCTAATTTGAAGAATACTTCCCGCCCTCCCTCAATTGCGTGCAATAGCCCCATCACCACTCTTCCCAATATACTAGGAAAGATACCCCACCGAGGATACTATGACACGTGTTTCGCCTCTACACGAGGCATCCAGGTGAAGTGGACTCGGTGGATGACCGCTAAGTGTATTAACTTCAACAGCCACTAGATGGGCTGCACTGCATTAATTTTCAGTTATTATGGCAATATACATCTTAAGTAAAAATGAAAAACACCTCTGTCAGGCATTATTTTAGTTTTATTTTGAGACTTCATCAAAATAAATATCTAAAAGTTGTAATTTTTCCGTAAAGACTGCTGCTATGTAATGCTAATGTTATACTGGGTGGCGATTAGGTTATCACGTTAAATAACACAGCGGTATATGCGAGTTCATATAATATGTCGATTAAAATAATGAAATAAACAATTCTATACAAAAAAAATGCATCTTTCAAACAAAATAAATAGCGTAAAAATTGACACGAAATAAATCACCTTGATAATATTAGTTTAGTGACCAGAAGTGACACATAAAAGCGGCAACTGTGCGGCAGGTACGCAGTGCTCACGCGGCATCGACATATGTAATTATTTACCTACACTTTCCCGTTCATAAGGAATTAGGCAAAAAACGAAAAAAAAGGGCTATTACGACTAGAATGTTAATTGTTATATATTTTTTTAGTTGTGTATGTTCAAAGAACGTTATATAGGATAAGTGTTTTCATTTAATGTGATAACTTAATCGCCACCCCGTATATAGTTGTATGTACGACACAGTCTTACTTTTTACTTCTAAGTATGGTTTAAAATACTCATTACTTCATTCGTACACATAATATCATTCCAAGAATATTTCGATCACTAATAATAACCTAGATACACAATCCCATGCAAAAGTTGTCTTAAAAACTGTCGCCAATTGTTTTGACGCAATTCTAGTACACTAAAGTAAATTCAACTTTAAAGGCATTTGTCAAAGTTGTATTCACAAAGCTACGTACAAATTAAAAGCGCACCCAAATGTTCGAGTGGGCGCTCATTCGGTAAGGACATTTTTTGTCACTGATTGTGTATCTAGTGTTTTATTAGTGATCGATGCACGAACAGAATATTTCGACAGTATTATAAGAACGTTAATGTGATATCGAATAATGATTTGATAATTTATTGTAACAATTTATTTTTGGTTTATATTATTTTATTCGTAATATTTTAATAGTGTTTGTTAAGTTTCAAATATAAATATTTTACTACACAATATTAATGAAATATAGTTGACGAGTGGTTACATATATTCAACCGAATAAATTACAAAAGTTGCGCCTAGCCTCGTCCTCAATGAGGGCTAATAATCCCACGCCCACCAGATGTCGCTACATGGGACTAAGGTGAACTTATTCGTTACCTATGCAAATGGTCACACAGTGTCATCATTACTGTAAGGTTCTTAGATGTCTAGTGTGTGTGTGTGTGTGTGTGTGTATATATATATATACAAAACATCAGTGCTGTGTGCTTTAATTTTGACACAATTTTTAATTTTTTTTTAAATATTCCCGCAGTCAGAAGTAATAAATCTGTAGTTTGGTTTATCCATTTCTAATGTAATTAATATAAAATATAACTAATATTTCAGAACGAAACATTACACTCCATCGCTATCTGACGCTGCCTAATCTGTTAAATATTTCACCTTATTCACTAGTGGGCAAAAAAGTCATGGATACCCTCATTGTGGTTTATAGGGAGGTAACTTATACTTTATTACAAAGTGTATAAAAAGTTTTTATTTTATTTATTAACTTATTAATAAACAATATAGAAGATAGAAAAAGAATAAATGATATCTATTTTTATTTTTTTACATCTTAAAAAGATCAAAAATAATATGTATAATCACAATTCGCGATACGCTCGTGACGAATCGGTACTTTAGTGTCAAATATGAAAAGAATTTTAGAAATATTTTATTTTATGTATTTACGCTTATTTTGTGGTCATATGACTAATGCCAAAGTCGAATCGAAAACTTCTTTAAAGAAGAGTGAGTGTTAGAGGTTGAGTGCGCTTTGCGTTCCTTGAGCGTTCGCTTTATTCCAGCCACTATACCGTAAATTAACAAAGAGCAATGGCAGAAAAATAGTTGACAAAAATTATAGCGTCTAGAAATAAGTTGTATATAAAACGAGTTTTATTATTTTTCTATGATTTGTCAAATAAAAATGTATTTTAATTAAAGCCACAGAAAAAAACAAACATGTTTGGGAATATCAAATGACTTAAATCATTTTACTCTATTCAAATGTTGCCATTTAGTATATTTATACTATTTTCGTATACACTTTGTAAGACTACCAACACAACACACAAAATATTTTTATATTAAGTTATTATTAGTAATAACTGTACTATCAGTAATAATAAAAATAAAAGTGATATGGCTGAGAATAAGTCTCTTACAATGAATTTTCTACAATAATACATTATCTCAATCATAGTACTATGTAACAATTCCATTTAATGTTATGGCAACACTAGTTAAAATAAAATGTCAATGTTTTTTTTACTGGCTTTACGGCTCTGGGTTCTAGCCCTTCTGAGAATGTCACTATGATACAAAAGACCTGGAGCCATGCCAGAAATATACATTTATAGTATGCAAATATATAATAGAGCTACAATAATCTAAAAACTCTCAATTATGCATTATGTATTAAGCTAACATCAAACAACCATAGGAAGCATGACTTTTTCCAAGTGACATAGGACATAAATTAAAAAGTTCAAATGTAAATATCTTTTTTTTTGACGCCTTCTTAGTACAAAATTCTTTAACAGAGTTATTAAGGGACTGAGGCTTAACATTTTAAGATACTTTTGGTATATAGACGCTACCATTTCTTCTCAACTAATTTTATGTATGAAAGTCTGCCATTGTTCTTTATATTTTTATTATTATTTTAAATAACGTTACCAGATAAATACTGGGATTTTCTTCTATATCATAGAAGTAGTGTACATATATACATTTCATAATACAAAATAAATAATATAATATCCTCCCCCCCCTCACCCCCGAGTCCTTATTTGAATCCTACAACATTTTAATATATTATTCTAATCCATATTCTGCAAACATAATATATTTTGTTGCTTTCTCAGACCAAGAAAGAAAGTAAACGAAGCACTGCGTTCATTTCAAATGACGCAAAAACCAAGTCAAAACCACACTCAACTTACTGTAAGAACACGCACTCATGTACGCATATGATTTTTACGTGGTAGAGCCATGCTGCAGCTATATTAATTATATAGTAGTAGCACGAATGGGTCGGCTCGACCGGGGAAGTACCACGCTCTCACAGAATACCAGCGTAAAATAGCAGCTTAACGCTGCTGTGTTTCGTATGGTGTGTGTAGAGAACCGGAGCCCCTTTTTACTGGAAAAGAGGCATTCCATCTTAGTCCTCACGGCTGACAACGCATCTGCATTTTGATTCGCATACGAGGATAGATGTAGATGTCTATGGGCCACAGCAACCACTTACCATCAGGTGGACTATGTGCTCGTTTGTCACCCTATCCTATAAAAAAAATATGCATCTAAAATAATTTGCAACCAACAACATGGTTTTAGATTGTCTAACAGTTTTACGAACAGTTAAAGAAAGAAAAAAGAAACATGTGTGCGTGAGTGCGTGTCAACTGTAGCGTGGTTTCGGCATCACTATAAATGTACGCAGTGCTCTGTCTGTCTTCTTTATTGATCTGGAAATAAAAATTGCTAATGCCTACACGATTTTTGATACTTAAGAATGAACAATAATAAATACCTACGTAAGATGTTCATACGTTTGCAAAATTACTCATAGGTATAAAACTTAAATGGTGCCTCTGCTTACATATTAGTCTCGGTAATTTATGAGAAAAATATTTAAAAAAAACACACCTTTACTTGTCAGTCGTGCCACTTGTTAGTGTAGATAAAATATAATGTTGTATGACCTCTACCTAAATATATTATCGGATAAATATTTTAGCCCAAATAAATCCGTAAAGAAATACGTGGGTGAAATATATTTTCCAATAGTTTAATTTTAGATAAGTACAATAAAATGGCCACGCAGCTTTACTAAAAAGTTAAGGTATGGCCAGATAAGACTGTCCCGTTTAAGGCAGTAGTTTTTCTGAATTGCCAGTAATTTTCTTCCATAGCACTTTTAAGGCCGTCTATATTCAAATATTGTAGTCTGAAAAATAAATAGTTTAATATACCTAGTGTGCTAAAATTGTAGTAGTTCGACGTAGGGACCTATTGTAATCCAGTTCTCCCATATAGTGTATAAAGTGGTAATAGAAATGTATAAAGTATATCACTAATAGGGTAGTTGACACCATTTTTAACCGACTCAAAAAAGGAGGAGGTACTCAATACGACTGTATTTTTTTGTGTTACTTCAGAACTTTTATCTAGGTGAACCGATTTTGATGATTCTTTTTTTATTTAAAAGCTGGTGATTGTCATGTGGTCCCATATAAATTTGATCAAGATCTGACCAGTAGTTTTCGAGTTATCCTTAATAATACGTATTTAATTGACTGACTAAATTGATGACGTTCTCATTGTTATATTGAAGTCGATTGTACATAATTTTTAATTTTACCATTTGTCAAAAATTACTTTAACATATAAACACGTTCTTTCTATTCTAGATAGTGCCTTGAAACTTGGACCTTGATTTGACTTAGACTTGATATATTATGTAAACCAAATGACACGTTAATATAAATTATGCTACGAGAAACAATGTTGTCATTATTATGGCATTGCCATATAATTTTTCTATTAAAAAAAAAAAACAATATATTTGACTGCTCAGTCTTTCAAAACATGAGTGTCTACTACCCTAGTATGGAAAACGGTAGGCAGGGTTAAAGAGAGAGGAAGACATTGCGAATAAATTAATGCTAGCCACGAAGAAGTTCATAATCAGTTTATTGATGTTTTCCTTCCATACTCTTAAAAATAGGTGTAGAATTTTTTTTTTCATTTATAAGCAGTTGCTGGCCAGTGTGCCGAAATCGAAATCTAAAAAAAACCGTTATTACTTGATTTTCCATTCTGGACTGAATTCAACTTTTTTTTACACTGACATCATAATCAATCATCATCATTCTTTAATTGATTAAATCTGTAACAATAAACACCTTCTTAGTACTTAGTTTTCTAAATTGTAGCTCTTCATAATTATAAGCTGCTTATATATTAATTTCATTTTCTATATATTTTAATATTTTTTTTCACATTAAGGTCTTTTAGTGGTAGGACGGCAACTGTGTTACCATCGTAGAACTTATTATTTATCATGAAGTGCATGGGAAATAGAATAGCTACCTTTTTTGGCAAATGTAGCTATTTGGTAGGTAATATAAGCTGATGTGCCTTGTACAAGTCATGGGTTTGTTGTAAATTGCAATTTGCAGTAATGAAATGTTTAACGAGAATGTAATTTCCTTGATTCGTTAACTTATGGCCAATTTTTTTTAATTATGACGGAATTATTTGTGATTTCGTGTTATAGCTAATTAATTTTGTAACAGTATTAAAATATATTTCCTTATTATGTACCTATTTATTTTAAATAATTATTAATTTATTGACACTATTATACTACCAGCATGATGTCCAAACATAATAAAATAAAGAAATGAAACTAATATTTGTTTATTTACTTGTCATTTATTGCGAACCTTGTCAGATAAAAATTGCAAAGCGCGACCATAATGTCTGTTGTCATTTTCTATCAGTGAACCGTGTGAAAGAGAATATATGGGAGGTGCATTTGAATAAATTTTCTGAAATTATTATATTTATTTTTCTTGCGTAATATATTGAACATATTCATTATAAGGCTATGAAGTAAACAGTAAGCACACATCATCACACATTTTTTAAAACCTTGTTGGAATGAGTCACGCGAGTATTAGCAGTGTTACCAGTGCTGATACTAGTCGGTGTATTTAAAAAAGGCAAGACTTATTTAAATTATCTCTATTTCGAAATTAGATAAGGGCTAAATAAAAAAATAAATTAGGATAATTTAAAATATTTTATTTAAATTATGTTCGCCATTTTAGTAATATATACTTAAATCTAAATTGTTAATACACCATGGATAAATAAAGAAAAATAATTACCGTACAACGCAAAAATAGTAAATTACAATAAAATCCTAAAACGTGCACAAAATACATTTAATGGAATGTAAAAAAATATAAAAAATAACGGCTATCAAATAAAAGTGATTGTCATTTGTGGATTTCGACGCCGCTGCCACCTACTAGAGTGTCGGTTACACGAAAACCACTGTTCAGCAGTTTAGTTTTTAATGCATTTACAGTAGATTCTTCTGTAGATGGCGGTATCAGTACAATGGCGTTCCTGAAAAAAAAAATTAAAATTAATAAAGCGATATTCTTACATCGTGTAGTTGCGGTGTAAGAATATCCACTACCCCATATCATCCCGTGGGTGTCGTAAGAGGCGACAGAGGGAAACAAATCAGGAGATGGGCTGCCAAGCCGCTTGCCAAGCGTGGCAACTATTGCAAATATCATGCCTAAGAAGCAATCTATGGGGGAGACCTATGTTCACAGTGGACTTTAATAGGATGTAACAGTAACGGTAAATAGGAGATCACTTTGATCTCCTATTTTCCTTTTCAGGCTGTTCATGTACGTAAAAGAAGGCATTTTAGAATTGTCCTTCGCCAACCGTAAAAGAAACACAAAATTAAGTTATACAGGTGACATTAAAGTCAGTAAAAATATTATTGTATTCATAGCGAGAAATATTTTAAAGTAAATTAAATTAGTAACGAACGACGTATAATAACGCATAAGATGTCGCAATCTCTGGCTAGTGTTGCTAGTAATAATTTAGGTATTTCTTTAAATAGTTCCGAAAACATGCGATTTCGAATTAGCCATGTTTCGTCCCGTTTTCGTGTTTCTTTTTTCTTTTTAAACGACGGTACCACCATACTAGGATCTTCCCCTGTATCATGAGAGCAGTTTACATACATAAATGGCAGATTTCTAGCGTATGTAAATACACAAAACAATGCTTCAATATAACTAATATTTCAGAAAGAAATAATCTCTATACTTCTCTAATAGTCCAGTCAAATTAGCGATCAACCTCGGAATGAGAGATAATAAGCTGAATTTTCGTATATACCTTCATTTTGGCGTTCTAAAAGTTGTCTCAAAAGTCTCATAAAATCTCGTGTCTGCGTCATAAGTTATTCAAGGTCAAAGGTAAAAAACACTTTTCGCGATTATCTCAGTTTCTATTGCTGCAATGATGTTAACATCTATCATAAAAACTGTAGAACATAAAATTTTCGACAAATTTTATTTGAAATATTTTTTCATACGCTAAACCGTTTTTGCGATAGAGCGGCGAGCTTGCAGCGCCCAGATATACGTACTGTAATGCAAGGTCAACCGTGAATATCTATGAATACTACCTTGAATTTTGAATAATTTGTATTATTTATCAGTTAATACACTGTATTTAATAACTTTTTTGTTTTGTTTTGTGTAATTAAAAACTCTCATCTTAAGTTTCGGTTTCCCTATGTCTACCACTTATACCAACCACAGTATGATTGGTGTAGTAGATTCTTTGACGGAGATACTGCACGGCAAACGTCTCTATACAGAAAGCCTTAAATGTAGTACTTACCCCCCTCCGCCAGCACCCGTTAGTTTGCAAGCCAAGCCGTGATCTCCTGCAGCTAATCGTATGGCCTCTAGTGCTGGATGGGATACCCCCAAAGATGCAAGGAGGCAATGGTTCATCTCCCACAGTTCCTGAAAAAAAAAGGGAAAGCTCATAGCCATCTACATCTATCTTCGATTGAGAATCAAAATGCAGATGCAGACCCTTGAGGACTAAGATGAAATGCCTTATTTCCAGGAAAAAGGGTCTCCGTTTCTGTACACTCGCTATATGAAACAGACCAGCATTAACCTACTTTTTCACGCTGGCATTATGTGAGAATGTGGTCCTTCCCCGGTCGAGCCGACCCATTCGTGCTACAACCATAATATAGCTGCAGCATGGCTCTACCACGTGTATATTTACTACCATACACATATTTATACCAAAGAAAAGAAAAGAAATCTACTATGAAAAAGTAGAACAAATCAATACTCAGGATAATGTTGTGTAATAAATATGCTATAGCATACATACTTGTAAATGTTTGTAGATTGCTTCGATATCTTCCTCTGATTTCGTATTCGATAATTTTTTGAGGAGCTGTAAGAATAAATAGTTTTTTTTTTAATGATGCACGGTAGAAGGCGCCTGAGTTACGACTAAAACCTTAACTAAACTGTCAGCTAGATCCTCGTTAGCGGATAGGCCAAATAGCATAGGATATTCTTTCACCACGGTGGCATTTTTCACTTACAAGCCAGTGGTTAACTTCAATCCCACCTGGTGGTAAATTTTGATGAAGTCCTAGATAGTAAAACGTGTGCGTGTGCGTGTGCGCGTGCGCGCGCGCGCGCGCGTGTGTGTGTGTGTGTGTATGTATATGAAATTTATCAATTTTTGGTTTTCATCCTAGCCCACTGCAGTACATACATTTCCCACTAACTTTCCGGTTGGCTGGTAGAAAATGCCATATGGCATTATGTCCGCCATTTGTACCTTTAGTACAATAAAGTGTATAAATAAATAAACCGCATTTTTTTATATAAGAGGGGGCAAACGAGCATGAAGCTCACCTGATGGTAAGTGACTACCGCCGCCCATCAATAACTGCCTATTCAAACTTGCCTTGAATACAAACCGATTGTAATCGGACTGAATATTTTAATATTGTTGCAAATAATTTTGATTTGCTTTCGGCAGGATGAAAAACATAAATTAGGAATATTTCCCGAGCATTTATAAATACTGATCTGAAAAAAAGAGCCTTGGTAGGTCAGGGGCTCAGCGCTCGCGGTAAATTTCATAGTACGCAAGCAACCCTTGTTCGATTCCTGCCGACACCAATGAAATTGATAGTTACAATTTTAAGTGAAGATTTACCACGTGCTCGACGCTATAGGAAAATATCGTGAGGCAACCTGCATCTTTGAGAAATAAAAAGAAGATATTTCGAGGACATGTGAATTTCGCCAACACGCATTGGAAATTTCGTTGCTCTAAAACCCTCTCAGAAATGAGAGGAGGCCTGAGTCCAGCAGTGTACGGAAATAATTACGCACTCGCAGAATACCTGCGACATACAGATTTCGATACAGATTTATACTTTATATATATTTTGCGGTATAACAAAGGAATTGACCAACTATTAGTATTCATTATACATATGACCGTGCTTTGTGGAATTCCTTGGGGTTGGCCTGTGTTTAGCTATGGACTTGTGAAGTTCTGTAATGATGATAATGGTGATAACATACAGGTTACATGGATGCAACGCATCGTTAGGATAATTCCACGAAGCACGGTCATATGTATAATGAATATTAATAGTTGGTCAACTTCTTTGTTATACCGCAAAATACCGACAAAGCTGTTTCGACGTCTAGTCGTTAAAAATATGTGTAGCCGTGAAATGAAAAGGGGAGATCTCCCGCCGGGCAAGTTGTTCAGCCCGGGAAGCGGCCAACGCTCCGAGTCGTTGTTCGAAGTAGAGATGTTACGGAGGTTCGATTCCGATTCCGAAAGTTCGGAACTTCCGATTGATTTTGCACCTTCGATTCTGATTTCGGTTCCGTTAAATTTTAATCGCAATTTACTTATATATCGGAGGTCGATGCACAGTGGTGGCGGCGGCTGCCATCAGCGTGTACAAACAATATTATACTTGCGCCCCGGGAACCTCCCTCTCCGCGTGCCTTTTGTCGATTACTCTTTAACTTGATGTTTTGTTTCGTATTTCGCAATTGGCATGTTGTGCGTTCGCGCTTTATTTATACTTATCCGAGTTTTTGATTAGTTTTAGTAGTATTTTATTTGACATTGAAGCCAAAATCAAGTGCCATTTGCCAAACTTGAAAGGGAAGTACGACTACTTCGTTAAAAAGAATGGGCATGCCACTGAATTCGAAGAATTCATAAAATTTTAAACTGAAAAGAAAAGTACAGTGCACTAGACCTGCCCTTAACACATCTCTTCTGCCTCCACCTCCGATTCTGGTTTCGATTTCGGTTCCGGTTCCGACAAACAAAATTTAAAAACACCGCTTCCGAATTCGGTTCCGATATAACCACTTCCGTAACATCCCTAGTTCGAAGCTATTCTATATATATTGCTTTTACTTCGGAACTTTTGATGGCGCGATTTAAGCTTCTATGTACATATTTTCGTTTGTGGCACGACGACAGCGCCGCGACATATGCTAGGATTGTCAGAAAAACGTTTCCTTAGATAATAATATCATAACATTATATTTTATCTGTATTCCTCGAAATAATTTATTTTTAGTAGTTTTTATTTTAGTACATACTACACATATCCATATTAAATTGAAGTAAAATAAAAAGCAATGAACATTAAAGTTGAAAAACGAAAATGAAAAACAAAAGTACTTATTATAATGCAAGAAAACTTAATATTGTTAGAAAAAAAATCTTTAGCTTTAAAAAAATATTAAATATGTAAGATCAACTAATTTAGATACTTATTAATATTAATTTGGAATGGATAAACCGATTGTGAAAAAACTTCACAAACAGACAAAGAGGAAGGCCAGGAGAAACTATAAGAGATATAAAAAACGTTTGGAATGAAACATTTTTTTTAAATTTTACATAAGAAAGGCTCTTACACTATATTTTATCCTTTAAAGTTTACAACAAAACTATGTACAGACTGTACGCGGATGAAGCCACGGGTATAAGCTAGTCTAGTAATAAAAAGAGATCATTTAGAGTAAACGGTGACATGAAGTCTGATTATTCCCAGGACAGGTCGGTTCAGGTATTTCCGAACCAGTAGCAAATTAAACATAACAGTGACTTTCAATCATCATCATCATCATCATCATTACAGCCCTTCACAAGTCCACTGCTGAACATAGGCCTCCCCCAAATAATGCCACAAAGCACGGTCCTGAGCTACCTGCATCCATCGACTTCCTGCATGTCTTACCAGGTCGTCACTCCATCTCGTGGGGGGACGCCCTACACTTCGCCTACCGGTACGAGGCTGCCACTCGAGAACCTTTCTTCCCCATCGGTTGTCGGTTCTTCGAGCTATATGGCCGGCCCATTGCCACTTCAACTTACTAATCCGTTGGGCTATGTCGGTTACTCTGCGGATATCCTCATTCCTAAGTTTAACACGCAGAGAAACTCCGAGCATAGCCCTCTCCATAGCTCGCTAAGCGACCTTGAGCTTCCTCATACGCCCAGCAGTGAAAGACCACGTCTCAGATCCGTAAGTCATCACTGGCAACACGCACTGGTTGTACAATTTCGTTTTAAGGTTTTGAGGTATGTCTGACGAGAAGATGTGTCGTAGCTTCCCGAACGCTGCCCAGCCGAGTTGAATCCGTCGATTGACCTCTCGGTCGAAGTTGGACTTACCTAGTCGGACTATTTGTCCCAGGTAAACATACTCGTCAACAACTTCGAGCTTAGTGCTCCCAACAACTACCGGCATAGGTGTGACATGGACATTGAACATGATCTTAGTTTTGTCCATGTTCATCTTAAAACCTATCCGTTGGGAAACACTATTGAGGTCATTGAGCATAGTGCCTAGGTCCTCCAGCGATTCTGCCATAAGGACTATATCGTCGGCAAATCGAAGGTGAGTGATGTACTCGCCATTGATGTTGATACCGTATCCTTTCCAGTCCAGAAGCTTGAAAACATTTTCCAATGCAGCGGTGAAGAGTTTCGGGGATATGACGTCACCCTGTCTTACACCTCTCTGCAATTGGACAGGTTTCGTACTCTGGTTCTGTACTCGGATAGCCATCGTAGCCCTACTGTACAAGCACTTCAACACTTCCATATACCGACAGTCAACTTGGCACCGCTGAAGGGACTGCAGCACCGCCCAAATTTCGACGGAATCAAAGGCTTTCTCATAGTCCACATACGCCAGACATAGTGGCAAATTGTACTCTTCGGACTTCTGTACAATTTGCCGAAGGGTATGTATGTGGTCTATGGTGCTAAAGCCCTTTCGGAAACCGGCTTGTTCGGGAGGCTAGAAGTCGTCAAGCCTGCACGCGAGACGATTCGTAATGACTCTCGAAAACAGCACGTAGACGCGGCTCAGAAGGGAAATCGGTCTGTAGTTCTTCAAGAGAGCGTTGTCACCTTTCTTGAAGAACAAGACCACCGCACTTCTGCTCCACGCCTCCGGTATAATGCCACCATGGAGGACGGAATTAAAGAACTTCTGAAGGACTTCAAGTACCGGTTTTCCACCCGCTTTCAGAAGCTCCGCTGTAATTCCATCCTCGCCTGGGGCCTTACCGTTTTTAAGGTGCTGGAGAGCCATTCTAATCTCGCTCAGACTGACGTCCGGGATATCTTCGGAATAGTGTCGGATGAGACTCGCTCTTGGATCGTTACTCACACTTGCGTGTGGCTCCAACGATGACGTGTACAACTGCCCATAGAACCTCTCAATCTCACTCAAAATCTCAGGTGTCCCGGAAACGATGCTGCCATATTCTGTCTTCAGCTTTGACAGTTGGCTCTTTCTGGCAGACAGATCTCTGGCAAAGACTTTGGAGCCTTGGTTCCGCTCGATCGCTTCTTCAATACGAGCTGCATTGAAGTTGCGTAAGTCCCGCCGCATGCATTTGGAGATCTGTCTTCTTCCAGCTTCACGATCTTCTCGTCAGTCCTCAGGGTGCGTGCGTTGTATGTTGCCAGGTCGAGTCGTCTAAGGTGGCAACCGAACCTCCACCGGAGATTCTTAGCACCCCCTGCCCCGCCGTTACCATGGTCGCCACCGTAGCCAGGAATAGCGGGGCCGCCGGGGACTGGGGGCCGTTTCTTTGTTACTATCATTCATAGGGGGATATTTGCCATAGTTGCTACGCTTGGCGAGCGGGTTGGCAACCGCAGTTTTTTTTATTGTTAGTTTGTTGTTATCAAGAAGATGCTGCTGCCCATCTCCTGCCTGTTTCCCTTTGTCGCCTTTTACGACACCCACGGCAGGATATGGGGTAGTGGATATTCTTGACCGCCACTACACGGCACGACTTTCAATAAGTATTATTTATAATCTATATTGAATAAAAAGTTTCTACTTCATACCTCAGCAGCCGTAACAGCCACATGGTTCATAGCCTCCATTACATGGTCGACTGCTGCCACATTCCTGCCATGTAAATCTTTAACAGCTGCCACCAGTCTACTAGTTTCCCGACCTACTCGGGAATCGACTAGTAACACGCGAAGCTCAGGGCTGGCTAATAAAAGGGGATCCTCGCCCTTTTTGAAGGACACCAGAGATCCGTGGGTGCATGTCGTGTTGTCTATGCCTGGAAAAATAACCAATAAATGATGTATAATATCTATATTAAGTGTGTGGGTAAATCAAATTACGTGGTAGAGCTATGCTGCAGCTATATTATAGTTGTAGCACGAATGGGTCGGATCGACCGGGGTAGGACCACGCTCTCACAGACTACTGTAGACCCTTTTTACTGGAAACGAGGCATTTCATCTCATTTCCCAGGGGTGACAACGCTTCTGCATTCTGATTTTTAATTGCGGGTAAATATATATGTCTTTAGGCCACAGCATCTACTTACCATCTGAAATACAAGGAGACGTCAGCGAAATCAAATTGGGAATGGGTGATGAAAATTGGAATACAGTCAGCAATCAAGTTGGTTTTCATTTTAACTGTGTGATCGTTTGTCACCCTTATTCTTAAAAAAAAAACATGTAAGAGTATCCACTATCCCATATCATTCTGTAGCTTACGCCACAGCATCCCCTTAACGACAGAATAACTGTGTGTTCATTGGCCACTATTACTACTACAAAAAGAACACATGGATGATCACAACGGAGACCAGAAAACAAATAAATAATTTCATTTAGTAAGTAAGTAAGACTCGGAACTAAACAAAGTGGTATAATTAAACATTTTGTACAAACAACCAACTTCAATATAAATAAAATGAGAACATCATCAATGTAGTTGAAGTCAATTACATTATTAAGGATTACTCAAAAACTACCGGTCAGATTTTGATGAAATCTATATGGGACCATACGTGAAGCACCAGATTCAAAAAAATCAAATAAAAATAGAATCATCAAGATCGGTTCACCTAGAAAAAAGTTCTGAGGTTCTGAAATACACATAAAAATATAGTACAATTGAGAACCTCCTCCTTTTTTTGAAGTCGGTTTAAAATCTTTGTCTATCCGTTTTTTGAGAATGTTTGTATTTTACATTTTTGCATGTTTATTATACAACATAATTATTTCCGTCAATACTATGGAATTCAACTCAAAGCGAATATTTTAACTGTATTTTTTTTATAGAATAAGGGTGACAACCGAGCACACAATTCACCTGATGGTACGTGGTTGTTATAGCCCATAGACATCTACATTTACCCGCAATTAAAAATCAGAATGCAGAAGCATTGTCACCCCTGAGGACTGAGATGGAATGCCTCGTTTCCAGTAAAAAGGGTTTCTGGCTCTCTACACTCACCATACGAAACACAACAGCATTAAGTTGCTACTTCACGCTGGTATTCTGTGAGAGCGTGGTCCTTCCCTGGTCGACCCATCCATTCGTGCTACAGCCATAATATAGTTACAACATCGCTCTACCACATAAACGTTCTATCACCGTTGATATATCAAGGCGTAGGTTGGCAACACTTATTGGCTGAACTAAATTAAAAAGTAAACATTAAAATCTTACCAGATGGCGCTCCGTGCGTGATCTTCTCGCAATTGTAAGCCCACGCCGATACAATATTTTTCTCTTCAACACTAAAATCGCCATCGTTTTCCGAATTCTTTAGTTTCACTAATTGTAGTATAGCTGCGCAAATACAGACTGAGAAAGAAGCCGAACTGCCTGTTCCGGCACCGACCGTAAGATCTGACGTCAGTTTTATCGAGAAATCACTAATATTTAAGCCTGAATTCCCAAAAATACCACCAAAGGCATACAGTAGGCATCTTAGAGAATTCTTCTGGTTACTCTGCAGATCGTCGAAACCTGGTCTAATCATATGGAGAACTCCATCCACCTTCTTCAGGTGGCTCTCATGGTCTATTCTTGTGGGTTCGTTCCAGGAACATTTTCTAGATATCGAGGTCGTGAACAGTTGTTCAATAACTGGCTTTAAGGCCAAGGTATCGTCTAAGCCCACGTTTGGAAAGTGAACGTGTATTTTAGGGTTATCAGTTGGAGCCAATTCCTGGAAATTATTTCATTAAATATTATTGTATTTAAAATGTAATTATGTTTAGATATAAAACTTATTTTATGTAATCTACAATTACGGATATATTTGTATTAAATTGACCACAAATCCTCGCAAAGGGGCACCGATTCTTATCAAGGTGCTTCGTGACACAATTTAAATTAAAAAAAATCTAATTTTAATATAAACTTGGGTATTACGTATATACTGTGATTAATAATTACATATAATTAACCGTGTAGTGGTGGTTTAAGAATATATACTACCTCATTTCGACCCGTGGGTGTCGTAAGAGGCGACAGAGGGAAACAAACTCGGAGATGGGCAGCAGCATCTTACTTATAAACAACTGGGCAGCACGATCTTCCTAACTACAACTAAATATACTGCGGCTGTCAACCCTGGCCAGCGTGTTGTCTATGGCAAATATTTCCGCAATGAGGCAATCTATGGGAGAGGCCATGTTCAGCGGTGAGCTTTTGATAGGCTTTAACTGATTAATAAAATTAAATCTTACTACCCTTAATAGTTTGTGCATGTGGTGTTTACCTTAAATAATTGTGCATTTGGCTGTAAAACACATGTTATTGTTAAATACTCATTGATGTATTATTGTTACAATTACTGGTAAACCTAATAAATAAATAAATCCATATCAAAGTAACTGAAAGGCTTCAAGTTACTGTAAGCTCTTTATATGTATAAATAGTTTCACGTGGTAGAGCCATGCCGTAGGTATATTGAGCAAAGATGCTCTCATCTGGGATTGGGCATGTCGGTCGGCCTGCCAAGCGTGACGTCTAAGGGAGTAACTACATTTATTCAGCTCCATTCGCGTTTTACTGGATTATTGTGGTTATATTTATTCAGTTCCGCCTCTTTCAGCCGCGTACACCATCGTAAGATTGTAAAAGGCCGTCGTAGCGTGCTATCTCCGACGAAACGGTTCATGACGCTGGATGACTGTGAAGCGATTACATGCTCACGGTAAATAACTTTCATTTAGAATTTTGCATTCAACATGGACAGATCCATACATACATACATACATATAATCACGCCTCTTTCCCGTAGGGGTAGGCAGAGACCAGTTCTTTCCACTTGCTACGATCCTTACATACTTGTTTTGCTTCGTCCACTTTCATTATTCCCTTCATACATGCTCTACGGTTTAGGGTACTCTTGACCTGGCCTTTTTTCAAGACGTCGCTGATTTGGTCTAGAAATGTCCGCTTAGGTCTACCCCTTCCAACACTTTCATTCACACTCGCCTTATACACTTTTTTCGTCAATCGTTCTTCATTCATTCTCTCGACATGGCCAAACCATCTCAGCATACCTTTCTCAATTTTTGTCACTACATCTTCTTTCAGACCACAACGTTTCCTTATCTCACTATTTCTTAGCCTGTCCCTCAGTTTAACTCCTATCATACTTCTTATTGCTCTCATCTCAACTGCATTTATTCTGCTTTCATGTTTCTTCTGCCATACCCAAGTTTCACTTCCGTACATGAGTGTCGGAACCAACACCCCCTCATGCACAGCCAAACGAGCCTTGTTAGACACCTTCCGACTGCTCATAAAGGAGTGCAAAGCTCCATTCACCATGTTTCCTGCATTCACTCTTCTTTCGATATCACTCTCACACTTTCCATCTCTTGTAAACTTTGAACCCAGATACACAAACCCTTTCACCTGTTCAATTTGTTTATCTTCAATCACAATGTTGCAGTCTGTCACTGCCTCATCTTTTTCAAACACCATCACTTTCGTCTTCCTTACATTTATCTTCATTCCCTTTCTAACAAAAGCTCCACTCATAGCAGTTACCATCTCCTGCAACTCCTCGGCCGAAGACGCAAGTAATACTTGGTCATCAGCATAGAGAAAACATTTGACGAGTAACTCATTCATTCTCAACCCACTTTCATTCTTTTTTAAATCTGTCAAACAATTGTCCATGAACAGATTAAACAGCCACGGTGACGCTACACATCCCTGTCTAACACCTTTTTCGATATTAAACCATTCAGTGTATGCCCCGTTTATCCTTACACAAGCACTAGAATCCCTATAAAGAGATTGCATTGCTCGTATGAGGATACTGCTCACACCGTTCACGGACAGTGCTGACCACAATTCATTCCTCACCACTCTATCATAGGCCTTTTCTAGATCTACGAACGCGCAGTAGACTTTCTGGTTTTTAGCCAAATACTTTTCGGCTATGCACCGCAAGGAAAAGACCTGATCCGTACATCCCATTCCCTTTCTAAATCCCGCTTGTGCGTCCCATACTTTCTTGTCTGTTTCATTCACAATCCTTTCAATCAACACTTTCGCATACAATTTACCGACGACGCTGAGAAGGCTTATACCGCGGTAATTTATGCAGTCCTGCCGTGACCCTTTTCCCTTATACAATGGCACGATTACGGCTTTGCACCAGTCTCCCGGTACTTGCCCATTTCGACAGCACAGATTGAAAAGGCGGTACAGCTGACTAGCCACCAGGCCCTGTCCAGCCCTCAGCATCTCGACGGTAATCCTGTCATACCCTGCAGCCTTACCTAATCTCATACTTTTCAACGCTTTCACTATTTCATCCATACTTATCTCATTTTCATCAAAATTTATATTAGTTTCCGTGGAAGGTGGCAGATGCTGTACCTGCACTTCCTCTCTTTCAAACAAACTTTCAAAATACTCTTTCCATCTCTTTAACACACATTCTTCTCCTTTTATAATGCTTCCATCTTGACTCCTGATTGTACTCAGCTCCGAGGTAGAAGTTTTTCCTCTGGCTGATGGTTTTCCAGAAAAACTTAATGTTTGACTGGAAATCTTCAGTGAGCCTCCTATCGAAATCATCCTTTCGTTCTTCTTTCTTTCTAGACACAATTTCTTTCGCTGCTGTTTTCAATCTTTTATACTTCGTTCTTGCTTCCTTTATCTCGTCATCCGTTGCCTTTTGAACTTTTTGGTTAGCTTTTGTTGCTAACCAATCCAACCACGCTTTCTTCTTTTCTTGCACAACCTTTTGTACATCTTTATCCATCCACACGTTATCATTCTTTCTTCCTTTCCTTCTTTTAGCCACCCCGCATACCTCAATAGCAACATTTACGACCCCTTTCTTAAATGTCTCCCACAAATCTTCAATCACTTCTATCTCTTCTATCCCTTTAAAACTTTCTTTCAGTTTCTCTACATACTCGTCTTTCTTTTCTTTTTCTTGTAGATTTTCCACTTTTACTCTGTCCAAAACACTCGTAGGCTCGGCCACTCGGTGTCGCCACCGTTTAAAGAGGCCCCGCATTCGGGCTATGACCAGGAAGTGGTCTGTGTCGAGGCCTACACCGCGGTATGCCCGAGTGTCTAGCACTTTCTTCCTCAGTCTTTCATCCACAATTACAAAATCAATCATACTTCTAGACTCACCCTCATCTCTTGTATACAAATGGATCTTTTTGTGGTCAAACATTGTGTTGGCCACGCACAGATTCCATTCCAAGCATACTTCAAGCAGGCTTCTCCCATTGTCATTCACTCTCTCGTCCCCAAACGTACCCAGAACTCCTTCATACCCATCACGCTTTACTCCAACCCATCCATTAAAGTCCCCTAACATCACGATCCGTTCATTTTCTCCGCATTTATTCAAGACCTCTCTCATGCTATCCCAAAATTCCTCTCTCTCTTGTTCTGCTTTTAATGACCCACCTCCACGCAGATCCGTCGGTGCATAGACCCCAAGGATAAACAAGCGAGTGAGTCCGACTTTTAACCTAATCCAGAGGAGTCTTGGGCTTATACATTCATGCTCCATCACACATTCAACCATTCGAGATGAAAGAATCACACCAACTCCCTGACAGCCTCGGCTGGTTTAGGGGACTCCCGACCAGTATGCCGTGTAGGGGCCATGGACCGTGGTGTCACATCCTTTCCTCTTGGTTTCGTTCACGCACAGAATATCAATGCAAAACTACAGATCCATGTGTGATATTATTATCGTTAAGCTTCTTTAAAAAAAAAATAGAAAAACTGGAAATGCAAACGACAGTGGGTAGACCCTTTTTGAAGAAACAGAAAGGATACAATCGTTTTTGAGGCCACTAGAAATTTTAATATAACTTAATTTTATTACAGATAATAAAAGATACCAATTTATTATAGTAAATGGTCTAAAGATTTTATGAAAATCTAACAGGAATCATGAAATCTGAAAAAAAAGTTATTTTGATATTCGAGTTCTGTTCTCCATCAATCTTAAAGTACCTATAAATGCTGAATGTACCTACAACTTTGTTTTATACTATTAATTATTGACCAGTGCAGTGTTTTAATTCATAATACCGCTGAAAACTACTAGATAATCGCTTTTAGGTTTTTTTTTAGGATAGGGTGACAAACGTGCACACAGTCCACCTGATGGTAAGTGGTTGCTGTGACCCATAGACATCTACATCTATCCTCAATAAAGAATCAAAATGCAGATGCGTCGATACCCGTAAGGACTAAGATGAATGCCTCTTTTCCAGTAAAATGGGTCTCCGGTTCTCTACACTCACCATACGAAACACAACAGTGTCAAGCTGCCATTTTACGCTGGTATTTTGTGAGAGCGTGGTCCTTCCCCGCTCCGACCGAGCCGACCCATTCGTGCTACACTATACTACTAATATAGCTGCAGCGTGGCTCTACCACGTACAAAAATATACTGGACTTTGACTAAACAAGTGACCATAAAGTCTAAAACAGGACGTAGTTCTAGTATTTGCACTTTGATATAGACAGATGACACTGCAGCATCTTGCTCGAAGGTGCCCGTGGTAAAAGGTGAGCGCCTTATAATTTGCCATGCGGGATCCGCCGGATGAGGATTTATAGAAAATTCTTTATTAGCCTTCCAACCAAAGAGTACAAGAGTATAAGATAAGAAAATGGATGAAGAATAATTCAAAGAGTGGTTTATAACTGTTTTACAAA